GATAGATATAAAACTTTAGGCAAATGGTTAGAGTAAGCATATGAAACAGGATTCAGGGTATGTTCTGGGTTAGGATAGATATAAAACTTTAGGCAAATGGTTAGAGTAAGCATATGAAGTGGGATTCATGGTATTTTTTTGGATTATGATAGATATAAAACTTTAGGCAAATGGTTAGAGTAAGCATATGAAACAGGATTCAGGGTATGTTCTGGGTTAGGACAGATATAAAACTTTAGGCAAATGGTTCGAGTAAGCATATGAAGTGGATTGGTACCAAACTAATGAACAGCATATAAGTTATTCTCACAAAATACAACAAACCTTTTAATATACATTATGAATGAGTCGATATGAACAACACGCTCGAAACCTGACTCATCCTATGCAATAGCTCATTGTTATTAACAAAAACGGAAATTCAACCTAATTTTAAAGTGTTTCTGATGCTTGTATAAATATTATTACCGTTATTGAAACATTCCTTGTAAATTGTGGGTATCAGTTTAAAAAGGCGGTTTTGGCTATGTTGCATGATTTTAGAATCGACTCAAGATTTGTCGTTTTATATAGTTTGAAAATTGAATATGTTTTTCAACAGTGTATCTACTTCCTTGATGTTATTTTAACCTATATCACATTGGTAGCTTACTTCCTGCACTTATCAGCCTACACATTTCACAAATATGCAAAGTTAATAATGAATTCATTGTTTTCTTGAACAACTGAATAAAAGGTGTTTTGAACTAACAATAAATGTTCGTGGTATTAGTTGGTAGATTATTGCGGTGTCTTCGAATCGGCGGATCACAAATGTCCCATCTGTCCCACTTGTATGAACGTCACTCCATTTGAATAACTTTTTGCCAAATATGTATCTGTCCTAGCCCTAAACGATGAGGCAAGTGTGGCAAAACGGTTCAGAATTGCAGAAGCGGACAAGTGTGAAGCAAATGATACACGAGAGTTTTGTGAATTCTTGTGGTAGATTATCTACTTCATCACAAATGATTTGTCTTTTTTATAATTTTTCTTATCTATCTATCGAGGTTCCCAAAGTAGGGTAGGAAGGCGTTCGGTTTGCATGAGAGCCATGACGAGTACATAAGTCGGAATCAAACACGCCATTTTGAAAGTCATTACTTTAAAAGCTCACGCCAACCGGTATCTGCTGACAATGTTTAGCCATATGGTTGATAAAAGTTGAGGGACCCGGTTATTAATATCCCCCTTAGTATAAGATTTTTCTCGATAATAATCTACCTGTAAGTCTGTTCAAGATAGTTTTTAGTTTATTACCCGACTCCCGATCGGAGTATTATTCTAGCAAGAGGGGGGAAGTAAGGAGTGGGTGATAATGGGGAATTTTGTCGTCGTAATGTTTTGAGGCACGAAGTAAGATTTGAATGAATTTGTTGTTTACGTTAAAATCGAGAAAACGTATTAAAATCTAACCCAGGGGTGGAAAGGATTCTGGACTGGGGGCCAATAATTTTGTCAATCTAGAATGACGGGCCACGTGAGTAAGACGTAAAGAGTTACATTTCATGAACAGAATTTTATTCACAGTGTTACAAAAGCAAAAGTGGAATAATAAGCCTCGTGTCAAAACTAAATTTAATCGCAATTTCAACAAATTCCTTGAGCTATTTTTAGCTAAAACATCAAAATTTGGTTGTGGCAGCATCAGGCGGGCCAGATTGAATTATCCAACGGGCCGTAGTTTGCACGTGGAAGATCTAATCCTATTCAACTATCGTCTGAAAAAGTTGGTTTTCTGTATAACTATAGTTATACGATTTAAATCCTGATATCGTAGCTCTATTTTTGTTTAAGTTTTTCTTTTTTGTACCGACCTTTAGTGCATTGATAAATCGTATGAATCCAAATAAAGCTATGCTTCTAAATAGATCGGGTTTGGCTGAGGGAGTAACAGGGATAATTCTAGCAACTATCGTAAATGATCTTTATGACCGTACGCTTTCCGCATAAGCAATCAATGATACGAATGTTCATCTAACTCTTTGTCTGAGTTTTTAAATTTTACAAAAGCGCTGATAGGAAACGGTTTTATTAGCGTTCATAAAGTGCGAGATATACATCTAATTAATTACACCCGGTAGTCATGGCAATATTGTTTTTGGATAACTTTGGATACTTGTTAATTTTACTCACGCGTTTTAAATGAAATAACATTTTCATAAAGGTGGGCGAATGACACGTACAACAGCCGGCCGGTAGTTTATTAATGATTCCAGTACGCCGGTAATAAGTCAGTATTCTTGATAGAATTGCACGATTTGGATATTTTATAGCAGATTTCATTGTGAAAATTTGTTCTGAAGGCCGATTTTGATGTATCGTTGTTGTGTCGTCTGCGCTAGAAAGAATGAATGTGACGTCATAATTTATATGTCGTCAATAAGGCAGATTTTGAATTACGTTGATGACAGGCTTCGTTCGATCGGTTGTTTGTCGGAATTAAATCTTTTACGAAAGCGATTTTTTTTTTGTAATTCATTTTATCGCAAAGTAGATTCTTTTTTAAATTTGGAAATTGAATTTGGTACAATTCCGCAGTACCGGAATCGATTACGAAAATGGTAAATTTGATTTTAGTGTCAAACGGTTGTTGCAGTTGTTTAGACTCCTTCCGAGTGACGATTTATCGGTTGACAACGAATATCCTGATGACGGTCCGAATTTGTAAAATTGACTCCGACTCCGGAATAACAATATTTCAAAAAATTTCTGTTTACAAGCTTACTTTTAATTTTGAATTCAAATTTTAAATCCGATTTCCGGATTTTAGAAATTTGTAGTTTGCACTTAAATCCGGATAGTCCAAAATCTGACTCCAATATTCGGTATAAATGCCAAACTTCGGTTCCCCCGCTGTGGTCTACTTTGTGTAATGAAACACCTAACATCATTACTATTGACTTTGGTTCCAGTCAAATAAATTAGGCGATTGTTATCCTGTCATATATGGCCATGGTTAATGTTGTAATAATATGTATATTTCTATACATGATAATAACATAAATCTAAGATAAATCGTAACATAAATTATGCATTGAAATTGATTTCCCAATAGCTCAAATTTAAAAAATTTGTAAAATTTATGGGATTTTGAGGTAAATATTATAGTGAAAAGTAGTGTTTCTCTCACTCTAAAATGCACACATAGGTATTCAAAAATATTAGGTATAGGTATAGGTATTCGAATAATTTGAATCGAATATTTGAATCGAATAATCAAATAAATCCGGAATTAGTTATATTTGATGCTATGAGTCTCAAAATATATGAAGTTTTGAGGTAAATATTAATATAACAAAAAAATGCATTTTGTGTATAATTCATTAGTGCAGAGTGCATCTTGCCTTTTATGTTGAAGAATTCTAAACCACTGACCCAACTGTAGTAAGAATCCAAACGAATATTCAAGATGTCCAAAATTTCGCCCGATTTTATTGTAATAACAATTGTAAATTAAAATAAATTTTACTATACAAGCACAATAAGAACTATTATTAAACAAAGACAAAGAAATTTTCAATCGTCATTACTATAAAATCGGGAGAAATTTTCTGGACACATTGTAATAGTCATGCGGTTGATAAGAGTAACGCGTGCCTCAACAGCGCGTACCTTAACCACTGCTCATTTCTCTCTGTTTTTGCGTCAGTGGATCATTGTGCACTGACTCTGACGATATTTGTAGTGAGACTAAGAACGGCTATATTCAGTTGTTATCGGATTAGATCGCAACTATTTACCTTTGTGTTTTTTGTGTGCCCGATTGTTAATTAGGAAATTATAACATGATATTTTCTTATTCTTATACTTGGTTTGTTGTATGATGCACATACCTTTGTGACTCAAGTCAAATACGGACTAGAAAATTAAACTAGAAAAAGAAAAGAATAGTCAATCAATCATCTCAAGACATAGCCGATTTGTTTTTTATGTGTTTAAAACAAAGTCAGAGCTGATTTTTTTTACTTGTGGTTTGTAAGGAAGGCCGGGATAAAAGTTAATAATAAACCAGAGACGAAGTTAATGAAATTAATTCCAGAAAGGGCTTTGCTTACATCTTAAAAGTCGTCAGATCAGAGATACGGATTAGGTAGTTTCGTATGTTCCCGTCAACTCATTTATATGACATTGGTTAATCAACTTTGTGAAAAAACAAATAAATGAAATTATGGAATACAGGAATGACCAGTTGTATTGTCTTTGATGTTCTTTCACACACAGTCGTAATTTAGGTCTGCAGTTTGCTATGATTTCTTCATAATGCTTATGTTGTGAATGTACCTTTTCTAAATGTTTGGAAATAAAAGAAAAAATGAGGTTTGTGTTAAAATAGTTTTTATTTTTATCTCAAGTCCATGCTTCCGAAAACAAATAACTAACTAATCCCATACCCGACGTGGAATAGTAACCGGACGAGCGGCCGTGGTACGCCATATGGTTAAGCCGTCTTATCGGCTTTCTCTCCCCCGGAATGATATGTAAATCCTATCCCGTAAATCTTATCCTATCCTCAGGCTAAGGGAAAGATGATAAAAAGCTTGATCCATTTGTCGAACCACGGCCTCTAGCCATGGGAGAGGGTTTGGGGATTGAGAGTCACAAGCCTTCCTTTTTGGAATGTAAAAAAAGCATTTTTCTTTATCATGCATTGTAATTAATTTTTCATAGCTTGACTGCTTTTTAAAGCCTCAAGACTCTTAAGAACTCACATTTACCAGGCCAGACTCGCATCTGAAAACCAAATAACTGGCTAGCTGATTCCATACCTGACATAGACTAGTAACCGGACGAGAGGCCGTGGTTTGCCATATGATTAAGCTGTTTTATCGGCTTTCCTCTCCTCCAGGATAAATATGTAAAATCTTATCTTATGTTTGCTAAAAATATGAATGCCGGTCACTGAGTAGTCAAATCTTTTGCACGAGAAATGTATTAAAAATCTTCTTTCCAAATTTCAGGAAGGCAATACAAAAAGCTGGCTATAACATGAATGATCTGGCGTTATCAAATTCTCCCTCCATCTCACCGATGACGCCCAGAAAAATGGAACCAAAGTCAAAAGTAGATTGGACTGTAAGTTTCGTTATTTGAAAAGCTTTACATTGACTCCAATTTCTGAGTCATTCGAAAAATCATTCTAGCTCGATTCCAGATTTCGAGTTTTAACTGAAATTTTAATTTGAAACCCTTAACAACAGGGGTTTCCAACCTTTTATGACTGGTGGTCCTTTTCCGTGGACTTTTAGCACTCATGGCCCCCCTGTGTATCATTCCAGTGGTATTTATAGTGTTGTTTTGACTGGTTGGTTCCAAATCCCATTGTGTTCAAACAATTCATGCACAAAAAAGCGAAAACACCCTGTGAAATAACCTTATCAAGGAATAATCTGGGAAGAACAGGGAGTTTTCGTGTAAAGTGAAAAGCAAAATCATTTTTGCGACTAGCATTGTGCCCCCCTACTACTGCTCTGTGGCCCCCTTGGAGGGGCGAGCCCCCCCGTTGGAAACCGCTGCTTTACAAAATGGAACCAAGTTGAATGCACATGCGAGACAAACAATATATGGGTTTTTAAATCCTTAGCTCTGAATAAGGCTTTAGTCCCAGGTTGCAGGCCAGGGTCTTAGACAGGAATTTTCACAGGTGGGATTGGGGGGTTCTTGCGCCTAGCATTGTGGCCCTCCTCCAATCACTTTGTAGCCCCCTTGGTGGGTCATGAGCCCCCGGTTGCGAACTGCTGCACTAGGCCATTATTCCGCCAGAAATACTCTTGATCTCATGCATTCAAATTCTCCTTTTCAGGAGGCATCGATACTGGGAGAACATATCTGGGCTCCAAGTAACCAAGCTGGTGATCTATGCTACGTTGGTGAGCAATTATGCCTGGTAAGTACTTATTTGATAGGATCACTGGATATATAAAAAAAATCTTGTCTTTTAAATTTAATAAATACTCACCCTGGTAATGCCGTTAGACCTGAATGAGAATAAATGGAATTATAAATATCAAATGAAGATATAATTTTTAATTTGTCATGGGTGAGAGGAAAGCTGATAAGTGGGTTTATCCATATTAGCCCGTTGCTGGTTACGGCTTCCTCTGCCAATAAAATCAAATTTCTGATAAAAAATATCTGATTTGTTAATTCCATATCTTGACTGGTAGCTGGACGAGATCCTGTGAGTTGTCATATAAATAAGCCACCTAATTGGCTTTTTCTCCCATGGGATAAATATTAAAATCGGTTTATAGTTCATATTGGATATATTCAACAGTTATTCAATTTAGATGATTAGTTTTAGACAATAGAAAAAGCTATTATTGGCCAGCGGTTATGAATTATGGCGATAATTTCACGATAATTTCTTATCCGTCCAAATCAAATGGCCAACCAGGGTTCTTTTACCCGTTAAAACTATGAATTACTGAGGCATTCTACCCTCTTTTATCTCCCTCTCAATAGTTATGAAAGTTCTATATTATTATTTTCCATTGCAGAAATCTGGTCCACGAAAGAAATGTTCTGCTTGCCATATAATCGTCCATGATGCTTGCCTCGACCAACTAGACAAAGTTAGTAAGATTCTGCTTGTTATAAGTGAATGATTTTTTACTTTATGCTAGAGTCGCTTTGGGCATGCTATGTTCTTTTTGCTCAAATCCTGATTATTCGAATAAACGAAACAAAGAGCGCTGGTAAAAGAGTTTTAAGCAATGACTGCGCGCTAAAAGCTTTTATTTTGATATTTTATATTAAGTTCTTGAATTATGATTTTGAACCTTCAAAATGGGCAAAAGAGTACTATACTAGAGTAATCAGCAAGCAAGCACCAGCACATTGAAAGCTATATTCTTTTTTTTTTCAAATTTGGTCAAAGCACGCTTAAATTAAAGTTAAAATAATACTGAAAATTGAGTAGCAAGCAACGCATACACACTAAGAGTTGTTTTACTTAGAAAAATTTGCCCGATGTCAATATACTATAGAAGAGTTTAAAGCAACTGGATGTATTCACAGATGCTAAGTCCAATACTGTTGGGGAAACGGGTAGGGTGAAAGGGAATTCCCCAAAGTGGGGTAGAAACAGTTGAGTCTGACAGTTTCCTCATTTTTTCAGATTGGTTTCCAATGCAAAGTAACATATCGTGAGGCAAGCACAAGAAATCTAAGAGAGGTGAGTTTATTTTCTGCTTTTTTGTCCAGTGGTTCGCAAACTTTGATGATTTGTGGCCTCCTTCCAAATACTATAAACATATGTGGCCACCTTCTAAATATTCTCAACACATCCCTTCTAAAGACTCCGAACATCTGTAGTCTCGTTCCTCATACTTCCACAGACTCTCAACACTCATGTCCTCCTTTCGACGACTATTAACACATGTGGCCCTCTTCCAAAGACTACCAACAGTTTTGGGCCCCTCATCCACAGACTACCAATACTTGTGGCTTCTTTTCAGTATCACTAGCATTTGTGGCCCCCGTTTCAAAACTATCAACACTTTTATCCCTCTTCTAAAGACTATTGAAACTTGTGGCCCTTTTTTGAAGACTATCAACACTTAAGACAACAACACTGGTGCGGCGGTGTGGCTCAACGGGCTAAGCGTTAGGAATACGCTCGCCACCGCACCTCTAATTACTCTGCGTGGGTTCGCAGGTTCGAATCCCATGCAGGGATGGTTATGTGCGAGAGGATTGCTGGACACCTCGCCGTCGTTGGGTGGTCATGTAACCGCTGGTCGGTTACAGCTTCCTCCACCACCGAGTCCATGCTTCCAAAAACAGACAATATAACTAATCCCATACCCGACTTGGAATGGTAACCGAACGAGAGGCCGTGGTTCGCCATATGGATAAGCCGTCTTATCGGCTTTCCTCTCGCCCGGGATAAATGTGTAAATCCTATCCTAAGACCCTTCCAAAAGCTACCAATGTATGTGGCCCTCTTTCAAAGACTCCCAAAATTTGTTGCGATCCTTCGAAAGAATACCAATGCGTACCTAATTTACACCACCCTGGGTGAGAGGGGGCGCGAGGTTAAATCTGAAATCTTAAGCCCAACGCTCTTAACACTAGAACTTCAATATATTCCTACCTGATTTTATTCAATGTTCACTTTCAGAATTTGATCGTGAGACATCACTGGGTTCATAGACGAAGACAGGAAGGAAAATGTAAACACTGTGGAAAGGTAAGAACATGACTGAAAAATAATAGGGTTTTCGTGAATGGGGAAGGGAATTCCCCCATTGGGAATAATGAGAAATTTGGATGAATATGTTTACTTTGAGCATTGTAATAATAGGAAAGGAGTGGGATTTCTTCCGAAATGTTGGAAAATTTTCATGGAAAATTGTTGTAAATATGCTCTTAATAAGCGTTTTTAGTGATAAGAGAAGGGAATTCCCTGAAGATGATGAAAAACTTTGCGCCCATTCATAGTAACAAGGCAGGGGAATTCCCTTGAAATCATGGGAATATGTATGTAAAATTTTTGTGTAAATATGCTCTCACTTGGCATTGTTATGGAATCCTTAATTTAGAGAAATAGGGAGGGTATGCCCCCAGGAGTGTCGGACAATAATGTATCGAAAAGAATATCATTTTTGTAACCCTGTCGTTATATACCATTTATCTATTGCTTTTCGATTCACGCATGGGAGAGGAGGGAAGCCGATAAGACGGCTTAATCATATGGCGAACCACGGCCTCTCGTCCGTCTACCAGTCTATGTTGGGTATGGGATGAGTTAGCCAGTTATTTGTTTCAGATGCATGGATTGATGGTTTCTAGATGATGAACCAATAAGTCTTTCTCTCTCTCGCTCATAATGCTGAATTTGAAAATGTGAATTCAAGATAAACTGTGATTTGATGAGTTTCCTGTTTTTACAGCATTTAGATAAAGAACAAACGCATTTTTAGTAATAGACTCTGAGTGCTCAAAATGAAAAACTTTCAAATTAAAAAAATATTGAATTCAGGTAATTTTGAGTTCCAATTGTTTTGCACAACCCTGTTAGTCAATGATGTTATCATTTTTGGATACCCCACTCCCAAACCAAACCGCCTGTCCATTTTGAATACTTCCTTCTTGAAAACCTATTTCTATATATTTTTCAGGTATTTGAAAAGCGCTTCGGATTTAGAGATTCCAAGGTAAGTTTTGAATAAATTATTCAATTTTATAAATTGCTTCGGCTCTCTGCAAGGGAAGGGGGCCACATGCGTTGAGAGCCTTTGGAAGGAGGGTCAGAATTGTTGTGAGTCTTTGGAAAGAGGGTCAGAATTGTTGTGAGTCTTTGGAAGGAGGGTCACAAATGTTTCAGTTTTCGGGTTGTAAAGTGTTGAGAGTTTTTGGAAGGGAGCCATAAATGCTTCGACTCTGGGAAACCAAGGATACACTGTAGGCCCAAATTTTAGCACTGCCAAATTAGAAAAATTTTAGTACTTATAAAGTATATTATCTCCTTGAATACCAGTTAATTCTTGTCCAAAGATTTGTTCTCAGTGCAAGTTGTGTAATTTTAATCTTTCAGTAGATCTAAGCATCTCAGTGGTCATCCTTGCTCACTGAGCAATTTGTCTTCAATAAAAATTTATTTTTTATTTTCAGATTCTCGCTATTTCTTGTTCTTGGTGTAAAGAAGCGTACCACAACAAAGTTAGCTGTTTTCGTATGCAGAAGATCCACGAAGCTTGTACACTAGGTGTCCACGCAAGGATTATTGTCCCTCCCACATGGATTGTTAAAGTAAGTATGCATTGAATTATGATATGGGGTAAAAGAAAAAAATGAACCCATGAACTTTTTAATTATTTCTACGGAAATGGAGAAAATTTGGCGCTCCAGAAGTATGTGTACCAATATGGAGGCAGAGGCAACTAATTTTGTTTACCCATTTCACATCAAATTGTGTAAAGAGACTGAAACCTATGGGCAGGGGGTACATTCACTTGGCTAACACAGACAGTCCCCGAACTCGTAATAGAACTAAAATAAGGAAAATCAGAATAAAATTATGGCCTAAGCTGGTACACATACTACGGGAATACTGAATATTCATTCAACACCTGAACCTCTGTTTGTGTAAGATTTTACCCAAAAGTTTCAATAATCTGGGACACTTAGTACAAAGGTTATGTTTTCTCTTATGTTTTAAATCACCTGTGTTATTTTTTTTTCACCCTGCATTCACTCGTTAATGTTGTTTTGTGAAATAAAATCTTTCTTCTATTTTCCTCTAGTGGACACCGAGAGGAAAATCTTTGCGAAACCGTTCGAAAAAGAAACGTTCTTCCGGTATGTGGCGTAAAAAATCATCTAAAGAAGGCCGACAGAGATTATTCGTTATTCGTCCATTACCAGAACATACTCCATATCTCTCTCCTACTCTGGTGTTTATTAATCCCAAAAGTGGGGGCAACCAGGTATGTTTTTGATAGCTACTCTTCCATTTGTTATTCAATGCACTGTGGTTGCCATAGGTACCCTGTCTGTCTTGTTTGGAGTCGTTTTCTTCCATTAACAAGAGTGACACCCTGGTAGCAGGTCGCTTAAGTGTATCTCAAGGGCGGCATTTGTTAGTGTTCTATGTTTGATTTTTTTTTTCAGTATGATTTGAGGTCAGACTCACTTCCTCATAGGTGTCGCGTCTCCCTTCACGTTCGCACTGAAATGCATTTTTTTTTATCTTTTTTAACTATGTTATTACAATGTGTACTTTCGATATGTGACGAAATAAACTATTCACTGGCTGACTGACATGTTTTGAACTTTGTTGTTGCATGTGTGGCGTGCCAACCAGTGATTACTCTGCATCTCAGGGCTGTGAAGTCGGCGAAAATTTGGCGTATGCAAGCCTTATCCAATAATAATAGACTGTTAAGAATGTTTAGTAAATGTGATTTAAAATTTCATGGACAATTGTGACTTCTTTTATCACAAATAAAAGTTTAAAGCTTCAGAAAGTATGGAAGGGGGACACTCTGGCAGTATGCTACCCATCTTTTCAGACGACAGATTATTTTTACACATGCCGAAAATACACATTGTACATGTAGAATACGAAAAACTAAAAAAAATTCAGCGGCACCTAGGGGGAAGTCTAACATTAACTTATACTGAGGGGAAAAGTTGAACATTGAATACTAAGATTATATATATTTATATTTAAGATGCGAATTAAATTGTGATGTCACACCTTCAAATTAGGGGGAGAGTGTGAAATATTAGGGGGAGGGAATGTAGGGGAGTAACTGATGGCTGGTAGGCATGGGCTTAAAATCCCTGCCATACAAACATAGTTAAGATAAAGAACTATCAACTAGGTCATGAGTTGGCGCAAATTACAGCCCGCTGGCCGCTTCAGGCCCGCCAAAGTGTTGCATCTGGCCCACCTGTATCTGCTGAAATTACAACTATAGTTTGTATGGATATAAATTTCCATTGAAAACATCGATGAAAATAGCGTCATAATGACCTCGATAGTTACATAGTGCATCTTATTATTATATAAACATTGGCCCAGCTGTTGTAAATAAACTGTTTTTATCCATATTGCGTTTTGAGTCTACGGCGCAGTAACCTAGTCTATTATCTGTAACTCCGACTCAGAAAAGGAAATTCTCACCCCTGAACTAGGTGATAACGGCTTCCTCCACCATCGAGTCCATGCGTGCGAAACAAATAAATGACTAACTAATCCCATACCTGACATGGACTGGTAACCGGACGAGAGGCCGTGGTTCGCTGTATGATTGAGCCACCATTGCGGCTTTTTTCTCCTCAGGATAAATATGCATATCCTATCCTTTAATCTGTGATATTGCATGAATGAAGTGATTAGAGTACCGGTGATCACTACTTATGTCATGGCAGTAAAGCCGGGGGAACTTTAACCGTTCGACCCGATTAAAAAAAATTTGACATCCATCTCCCACCTAAGCCACCACTCATCATGTTTTCCGCTTCACAGGGAGTGAAAATGCTTCAAACATTCCAGTGGCTACTCAACCAACGTCAAGTTTTCAATCTTAGTGAGGGAGGACCAAAAGAAGCGTAAGTTATTTATTGTTGAGTGGGGGAGGGTCTTGATAATATTTTCATACAAGGCTCTGTTTAAGCATTCGCAAATGAGCTAAAATTAGCAAATTTGAAACTACTCCATGAGCAGATGCTTAGGATAGATAGGATAGGATTTACATATTTATCCCGGGGAAAGGAAAGCCGATAAGACGACTTAATCATATGCAATCCTCTCGCACATGATCTTCTCTGCATGGGATTCGAACCTGCGATCCCACGAAGGGTAATAAGAGATGCGGTGGCGAACGTATTCCTAACGCTTAGCACGATGCGCCACACGGTGCTTGCTACTAAATGATTAACATGTAATCATTGACACACTGAAAGCAACACATGCATTCATAGGGTGCTCAGAAGATCTTTGACAGTAGATCGAGTTTTACTTATGGCCTGTTTTGCTTCAACAAAGGGGTGACCGTACATTTGAACCCACGTACATTTGAACCCATGTGTATATCCATGGGTTCAATCTATATTCCGGCGCTAAAACCCATGGGTTAGGGTTAGTATGGGTTTAACTATCCGTGAAACAAAAAATATTCATAGGTAGAATAGCATACAGGTGCAATTGTCATGGGTTCAAATGTAATGGAACCCAACAAAGGCTGTAAAAGCGTCATTTGATATGTAACGAGCTAGTATTTCTAATTCAGAATTGCCTACTAAATTTATTACAATCTGGGTAACTTTGTAATACAAAAAATGTATGTATTTTCCTCAAGAAAAAACAAAATTCCTTCCCGCCTGGGAAACACAGTAATAATTCTTGACACATGGATTTATCATTCACAGGCTCGAAATGTTCCGGAAAGTTCCAAACTTACGAATTCTCGCATGTGGGGGAGACGGGACCGTAGGATGGATACTATCTGTTCTCGATGAGATGAATTTAGGCCGATGGCCTCCTGTCGCAATATTACCGCTTGGTACTGGGAATGACTTGTCTCGTACTCTGAATTGGGGATCGGTAAGTTTATTTATGTTGAATATGAGTTTAGTTTTCGATACTCCTGTAGTATGTGTACCAGGTTGGGGTTAGGCCATAATTTGATTCCATATTTTCTTATTTTAGTTCTATTACAGGTTCGAGGACTAGCCAAGTGACTCCCACAGTATTTGTACCTGAAATTATGGCCTAATCCTAATCTGGTACACATATTAATTAGACATTTTGGTACTCCCGTAGTGTGTGTACCAGGTCAAGGTTTTGCCATAATTTCCTTATTTTATTTCTAGTACGAGTTCAGGGACTGTCTGTGTTAACTAAGTGAGTATACTCATACTCCATGCCCATAGGTTTCAGTCCCTTTAGACAACTTGATGTAAAGTAGGCGAACAAAATTAGTTACCTCCATATTGGTACACACACTTCTGCAGCGCCCAATTTTTGGATTTTTATGCACACAAGTGGATTTGTGGTGGATTTAATTTTCTTAATGTTCGGAATAACTCTCCCCACCTCCCACTTTCAAAAAAAGATGGAACTCGGAATGCGTGAGTTGATTTGTGTAGGACTTTCTTTCAGTTTTCAGCCCGTCTTCCCCATTTTTTAAACATGATTATTTTCAAATTACCTGTTTTGCAATCGAAATCACTTTCTATACAAAAATCTCTTTTTAGACATTTTTTTGCTCAAGTTTCCTCTCCCCCCTTATTTGAAAATACATTTTATACCAGACTTACACAGATAAACCATCTACAGCTTTAAAATTTTCACTCTTAACCAGAGTTTCAAAAAATAAGCATTCTGCTCAACTTTCCTCTCCCATTTAAAAATTTTGTTTTCATCAGGGTTACACAGTCAAATTCAGCACAACCCCCCCTCCCTCCCTCTTAAAAAATGCACTTTTAACCAGTGCTACCCCTAAAAATCTCTCGCTCAGCTTTTGCGCAGCTAAAATCATCTATCTACAGCTTTACCCTCTCCCATTTTTAAACATAGCCATTCCTAAACTTACCAATTTATCAGCAGAAATCACTCAATTTCTTTACTATTTCCTGCACAGCTTTCCTCTCCCCCCACTTGAAAATATTCATTTTATACCAGGGTTACACAGATGAGCCAATCAGTAAAATACTCCACCATGTGGAAGAAGGAAAAGTTGTTCAAGTCGATCGCTGGAAATTGCAAGTTCAACCAAACCAGGATGCAAAACAGGAAGAAGATGAGGTAATTAGGTTCAGAGGTCAAAGGTTCACTATTCTTGTCTAATATCCAACTCATAATATCTAATATCTATTCCATAATAATTCGGGTAGGCCAGTGTTCTTCATACTTTTATCATGACCCACTCAAAAACTAGCTAACAATAAGCTACCCATAACAAATAGTAAGGCAAAATTATGTTTTATTCAAAAAACATGTTGAAAATATTTAGACATAATGAAGAAATGTAAAATAAACAAATTTAACAAATATTATGATTTTTAATTAGCTTCTCACTCCTTCCAAAAATTGTCTACGCTCCCCACTGCTCTAAGCTGTAACTAAAATTAATTGTGAGGCATAACCTTACGGAATATCCTGGATGGTGATTTCACATTTCAATGCTGTCTTTTACTATCACAAAATTCTATTTTACAGCCCCCTGGTGCAACAGCGGACGTGGGAGTGGACCAGCTGCCATTGAATGTCGTCAACAATTATTTTAGTCTCGGAGCGGATGCGAAAGTTGTTCTGGAGTTTCATGAATCTAGAGGTGAGTGGAAAAACATTTTAATTTTGAGCAGAATTGCGTCGCCATTTGTTAGAGCAGGGGTTGGTGATTACTTTACTCAGTGGGCCAGTTACATATAATAGACTTGGTTAATAGGCTGGCTTAAAACTTGATATGAAAAAATATGAATGAAAAACAGTTTATTTAGAAAAGCTAGTCCAATATATGGGCTAACGTTTATATAATAGAAAGAAGCACAGCGTAAAAATCGAGGTCATTATGACGTTCTTTTCATCGATATTTCCAACAGAAATTTATATCCATGAAAACTATAGTCGTAATTTCAGCAAACCAGGTGGGACGAATAAAACATCTCAGTGTGCTGGATTTGCCCACCCATGTGTTAGAGCGTACTCTATTACACTATTTGCATGCTACTTTAGTTTGGTTTAAGCATGCAACTGCATAAACTTGTATTAGTTTGAAAACTGAATAATAGGTAAACGAGAATATCGGTCAGAGACCGAAGACTTATCGATTGAAAATTAGGGGATCCCCCAAAACAGCGCTCTTGCTCCATAGTGACACCTTGTGTCCCACCACTAATTAATTAATAACTCGCTAATTATACGACATAATTCATCCAAAATCAATAGGCTTCTGGTCCGAGATATGATGAATGCACATGCAAAATCTGGAGCAGATTCAATCTCGCTTTCGTGAGATATCGCGTACCTCTAACAGACATACAGACAGACAAATACCTATCAACATACTTACCGATTAAAATCGATAAGTAATAATAAATATGTATCCATGGCAGAACTAAAAATCAAATATCTGACTTCAATATTCTCTTTTCCAGAGGCTCACCCATCAAAATTCAAGAGTCGTTTCGGAAACAAAGTATTTTATGCAAAGACTGGAGTGACTGACTACTTGACACAGAAACACAAAAACTTGGGAAAAAGTGTTTCTATAGTGGTGAGTAGAGCTGGGCATTTTCGAATACCTGATGATTTCAGAATCAAATTGAATATTTTTTTTTAATCGAATCTCGAATACTTAGGAGATATAAAATTGTATATCACTTTCTTATTGTATTAGGTCCTCCAGACACATAAATTACTAAAAACGTTAAATGTATCACTCAGACAGATTGCTGATGCCATGTTTTCATCAATAACTCAGTACAGAAAAAAGTCATATGCCAGAATTGTATTAAAAAAATATGGCTTCAAAATAAAAATTGAGAAATTTACCTCAACCATTGGCAGAAAGAAAAAAAACAAGATGGCAGCGATTCGAAATTTTGCTCTGAACCAATTTAAGTAATTTACTATTCCTAGTGGTGAGTTAGTAACGTTCAACTGTTTTACTCTGAACAAGGCTTTGTATATGGAGCCATTGCTAAGGATCTAGTATAGGGTGTAATAAAATGGGTAGATAATGCTAAACTTGAAAGACTGCTGTCATCCCAACCTATAGCTGCTTCTTACGTAGCAGTGGAACCTGGTTTTTAAACTAAACCAAGTCCTAATTAGTTTTTTTTTACTTTTGGGTGAGCGAACACGTACTACTTCTTTTATCAATACCTTTCCATCTAAAATCTGTACGTTTCAAACCTTACTCTAGGTTTTGTTCGCTCTCCCGATTCTATAATCAGTTACTTTTACTTTTGTTTTATCTAACATTTTATCGTCTATTGCTGATTATGGAGTCAAAATAAACTTATTATTAATATTATTATATTATTATAACTTTTGACTCAATGACTGGCAACCGAACATATGCTAAATCCAAAAGCTATAAGAGTTTGAACTGACCAAATTCTCTTCGGGGAAGCATTTCCTAACCAATTTATTTCCCCTTGGGTGAAGTGGGACCATGGCTTTAAAATCCAAATTTTTAACCTGTGATGCAAAGCTTAACCCCTTGGTCACCGCACCTTTATCCTCTTTGCCTCGGTTGAATATGAAAATCATAGCTTATAACACTGACATGGTCAAACTACGGCCCACAGGCAAAATCCGTCCCGTTGGGTATTTCAATCTGGCCCGCCTGATGCTGCCACAACCAAACTGAAACCAAATGTTAATGTTTCAGCTAAAAAATAGCTCAATAAATTAGTTGAGATTGCAATTAAATTTAGTTTGGAACAGAGGCTTAATGTTACCCATTTTTGCTTTTATAAACTGTAAATATTGTTCATAAAATGTAACTTTTTACACATACATACATACATAGCCCGCCAGTCTAGTTGGGCAAAATTTTTTGTCCCATTGTCCTGAAACCTCGCCCCTGTTATAACAGTACCTGTACCAGTGTTGTAGGTGTCACTGATTGAAGATATTTCGAGGTCCCTCGCAACTCTTGTAAGTTGTAACATAAATAACATAATCAGTACATTTGTTTGCTGCATCAGTTTTCTATGCACTTGTTTTTGTGATGGCAAATAAACTGTTGACACTTATATGAAAATTCCTTCAACAGTGCGATGGCAAAAACATCACTGAGAAGATTCAGACACTGAAACCAGTCTGTATCGTTTTTCTCAACATTCCACGATACAGTGCCGGTACGCAGCCATGGGGTAACCCCGCGGGTCTTGAGTTCAAACCTCAACTTCATGACGATAAATTAATTGAAGTTATTGGATTCACTTCGAATCAATTGGTGAGTAGCTTTTTTACTCCCTCACCCCCCACACAGTCCTTGTTAAAATGATGAAATGAAAGCGTTGGAGCTTTGAGAATAAATGTGAAATTATCTTGAGATTCAAGTTTTCACAAAAAATACTTTTCTATATATAAGTTATGTTTGTCGCAGGCATACAGTGGGTCACAGGAAGTGACCTTGAAAGAAAGTCGAGTTTTCATAAATTTTACCTTTCAATATTCTGATTTGAGCAAACTAGAATAGACTAATATTACTGTGTAATTCATTGGTTGATTGTAACTTTTCTGTTAGTCTTTCAACTTTTAGTTTAAGATCAGGGACTTTTCTCTGAGTAAACATGTATAAAATAACTATTTTTAAAGCTTATAGAGTGCGAGGGGTTGATTAAAACTCTTTTCCGTGATTAACCAGGGTTCCAGGGTTTTGAACTCTACTTTCTATTTCCAGGGTCTCCTCTATGTTGGTGGTCATGGTGAAAGAATCTGTCAGTGCAGAGAAGCTGTTATCACGACCAGCAGATCTTTTCCTGTTCAGATAGATGGGGAGCCTTGCAGGTGGGTTATTTGATATATGATCATAATTTTACGACGCCTATTTTCGTCTTTCACTTTGAACAGAGTGAGGTGGGGACATGGTATTTGAACCCGACAATATGATTAGAATTTTCAGTGTTATCTGTTGTGAGAGGAAGCTGATGAAATAAATAACCTATATGAAAAACCCTGTGTGTGCAATGGCCATGTGTTACCAACATAAGTGTGTTCCTGACCATCACAGGGATCCATCCATCCAATCCTTTAATCAAATCAAAATTATTTTTATTCAACGCAATCTGGCATGCCAGCCACACCCCTGACACACCTATTTTATTTACTTTTTCAGATTGAATCCGTCCATCATACAACTGACATTTCACAATCAAGCAAATATGGTTCTAAAAACAAAAAGAGGATCAATGCCACTCATCCCTGAGTAAGTACTTCAAAGTTTTAATTTTTTTTTCTACTTTCAAATTATAGAATCCTGTAGTGAGTGAACACATGCCTTTTATTGGGGGGTAACTGACACTGATAACTATAGTATATTATAATATATAGGATGTCCATAAAGTCATAGAAAAATTTTAAAATTGCAAAGGGAATTTATCGATACCATATATTGTTTTGGCCTTCACAGATTAAATGAAGTAAAAATACTTAAACAATTACTGATTAAAAAACAACATACTGGTTGACATATATTGAGAACTGACTTCATAACAAAATTGGAATTGTAAAAGGACTTCATGGACACCCTGTATATAATAATACTAAAATATGTTGTTGGTGTGACAGTTGTTGTTGTTGACTGCTGTACTTGAAGATTGTGGGATCTGCCAGAAGGCTATTACTTTTATTTTTTTCTTCAAATTTACTGACCAGACCCAAATAGTTCCCGAGTCTCAACCAAAATTTCACTGTTCTATTTTACTCAAAGAAGACATGTTTTTAAACCTCATTGCTTGTCCGCCGATCTTTACAGAAAACACAGTGCTTGTTGAAGAGACTTTACATACTAGTAACGATACCCAATCTTCGTGTCCTCATAATTGAGCATTGCTGTGAATACGGGGAACCCACACAGGGTAACCAGAGGTGCGGTGGCGAGCATATTCCTAACGCTTCGCACGATGCACACACCGCAGAGCATAGGTATTAGAACACTGGATATCCCTTCTTGATGGCCAGTATGGGCGTATATTAATGAATCCTGCCACAATCATTCACCCCGAATACAACACACAAGTCATTAGTGACGAATAATATTCAAAAAAAAAAAAGAACAACAAACTCTTAAGACATCTTAACAAGGAATGATTAGAAATAGCATAACGCGCTCGAAGAGAGTGACTGGAAAAAAGGTTACACGCATGAGCGAGTTGATTAGAGTGTTACATGTAATAATGTAAGGGAAACACAAATAAACTGGCACAGCTTTGTCTCCCCATGGATTATGTTCTCCATTAAGTTCTATTTTTTGTTTAAATTTAACATATTTTTGCTAGATGGGAAAAGTAAGCCTGACTATAGCTAAAAGCATTGTTCTATGTTCTATTCTCCGCTGTTCTATTTTAATTGAAGGCGACACATATTTATTCCTCATTACTTGACTGCCTCTGTGATGCTTGACCTCCTTCATATTGCTTGTCCGCTGTTCTTTTCAGAAAACTCAGTGCTTGTTTAGGAAGCTAAGGCGTCACATACCAGTACCGATACTCAATGTTCTTGTCGAAGATAAATAAAGTAAAACCGGTGTATAGCAAAACGATGTATTTTCTAACATTTTGTTTGTTTTGTGTGACATCATTTTCCTATACATCTGTTGTGCTGTGCTTTATTTATCTTCAACGTGAAAATACTTGCTTGCAATCATGCACTACTATATCGTACTATTTTTATTCATTTCCTTTCTCCTTTTCCTACTCTCTATAAATATATATACGATAGTTAATAGTGTGCTTTCCCTATTATGCCATGATGAATTTTTTTTGAATAGAAATTCAAAACATTGGCAAGTTACAAGAGAATCTCAAACTTTTCGATTTGCTGACACAAGCTTGAGTTTTTTAATCTTCGACACGAATATGCCTGGTGGCAATATTGCGCTACTCAATTTTATGTCCATATATTTGCGCGTTGCTCTTTTGTATAATTAGTATATTGGCAAGTATGCTGTGCCTTTGACTTCTGTGTCCACATGTTTTAGCATTGTTTCATTGCGCTACTCGATCTTTGTGTCCATGTGTTTAAGCATTGTTCTCTTTTATAATTTCAGTCTCCCCATGTCAGAACAGCTGAAGATTTGTATCAATCTGATTTCTATTGAACAATACGAGAAACATAACGGTGACAAGCAGACACTGAGACAAATATGTAAGTTATTCTGTATTTAACTGGGGGCGAGGAACTAACGAGGTTGCCTTGGCATCTTCAATTCCAGTCTTGAGATCGCTAGATAACTCTGTGGTTTCCAACCTTTCATTTCCCCCTTTCAGAAGATTTTAGCACTCCCCTGTTCATCATTCCACGAGCAATGTCCACTATGCCATCTCGATTTACTTTGGCCGCACTCGCAGGAAACGTAATTGTCGTCCCATTTCTGTTTCTTGGGAGTATTGGAAATTTAAAATATTTAACCGCGTCTACGATACGTTTACGACTGCTACAGCACTTTTATTTATATTTTTCTTATTTTAGTTCTGTTACGAGTTTGGAAACTAGCCAAGTGACTCCCGTAGTATTCGTACTTGAAATTATGGCCTAACCCTAACATGATACACATACTACGTTCCGGTGTCCGCCATCTTGTTGCACATACTATGGCAGTACTTAAATTTGTGCCAATGTACGAAAAGACTGGAAACTTTCTGGTTGGAAATAGCATACCCATTTGATCACACCCAGGGTGAGGTTGTAGGCATGGGGTTCGAATCTGACTCTTTACCCTGCCATCATAGTTGTTCCAAAGTTACTATGAGTAAATTAACTCACAAAAAATATTGAAAGATAAATTTTTTTTTCCAGCGAGACCCTCCCACACCACTGTTGTACCAGCTGATGCTGATCTTGAAACTGTTAGATTATCTGTTGTAGAAAGGTTGCAGCAGGTTAGTATTCTTCTGTTTAGTTTGGACAGGTTACCAACTCCTTAAAAAATTTCCAATTTTCAAGTTAGGTCGCGATAGTTACGGCCGGAGTTCATAAAACGTGTGTTTTCAAGAGTCTTAAGGGTCTAAAAAGCATTTAAAGCTGAGAAAAATTGCTATGTTTTATACTGCAAAATGCTCTTTTTACATTTCAAAAAGGAATGTTGTTTCAGATCTGCAAAACCAACGATCCTGACTATAACAATTAACATAAAACATGTAAGATTGGCACCTTGCTATGGCAAGTGGTTGAATACAATTCTCATCTTAGTTGAGACACATCGATCATTTGCTAACACTACTCTCGATCTACAAATCTCTTCAAAATAAATCCTCATGGTGGAGCATATATGGTGGATGCAAAGCCAACCCGCTCGATACACCCCTGACTATAACAATTAACATACAAATGTGAACTAAGATAGGATAGGATTTACCTATTTATTCCGGGGGAGAGGAAAACCAATAAGACGACTTAATCCTATGGCGATCACGGCCTCTCGTCCGGTTACCAGTCCGTGTCTGGTATAGGATAAGTTATTTATTTATTTTCGAAATGGACTTGATAGTGGAGGAAGCCCTAACTGACCAGCTGTTACATGAACCACCCTACGACGGCAAGGAGTCCAGAAATCCTTTCTCACATTATTATCCCTGCATGAGATTCGAACCTGCAAACCCACGCAGAGTAATCAGAGAGGCGGTGGCAAGCGTATTCTTAACGCTTAGCACAATGAGCCACACACTAAAGTACAAACTCTTGCTCTGATGATCTAATCAACAAAGAAACATCCAAAAAATATTTCCTTTTACAGCAAGACACAGAGAAAGGACAAGTAGAGTCTCGTACAGATCAGTATACATTCCTTGATTGTAAGTTGGTTTTCCTTGTTTTATGGGGGCTTTTGGGGTTTATAAATTTCACCCAGAAAAATTTCTTAACCAAAGCTTGGGTTGGAGTCAAATCTTTGGAATATTGAGCGACGCGAAGACCTAGTAGTTGAAGTGTTCAAATTAACTGTGTTGATTGACTTCACAGGTTTCTCACCTCCGGTTCCAATTCCCTGCCCCTGTCATCCAGAATGAAATGACTTGGGTATATGGGACAGGATAGTTCCTGGCCCTTGAATGAATATTAGATTTTCACATATCATTAGATATAAGTAAATGCCTGTACATGACATTGTTCAAAACTGTATTCTGCCTTCATTTCTATATAGACAAGCACCCAGATTCCATTACGACACTACTTTATTGTAAGAGTCAAGCATTCCAAAATTGGGACACCATAGCAGTAGCAGATTAAGCATCAAATCACACTTAACACGTGCACAGATAGAAAACGGCTAATTACAGCCTCGGATATAGTACGAGTCAATAGCGCCACGTAGCGGTATTACATCATATGTATCACAATAATTTATTACACGGCATGAATAGGCCTGATAAGAATTTCTCGTGTGTTATACTTTCCAATGCTTGAATTCCCGTTATATATCTATATTTTCTGTACAAGAATACACATCAAATTCAAGATCGCACTAGACATGAATTAAAAATATAACTCCCTCTTTTTTTCCTTCTAGTAAGCACGACAGCTGATCGATTTTATCGAATTGATCGAACTCAAGAATCTTTGCACTTAGTTCGAGAGGTCGCGACCTCTGATGGCGAGTTGTTTGTTTTGGAAACAACACTGGTGGCGAGCAAGAGCCAGGACGTTCAAACTATACTAGTGAGTTTTTGAAATTTTCATATCCCTAGAAGATCAGCTAAGGTTGCTCAGTGAGAAGTACAGAAAACACCCCACAAACTAAGTGTGTGTACCAAGTTAGGGTTTCTGAAGCAGGCTCATTTATGCTCAAAGTTATCATCAATCTCTGGCTTTACTTTTATGAATTTCTGTATTCAAATGACACCTCTCATTCAATTACCAGTCCATGTCGGGTATTTGAAACTTTGCCCTGTCGTTTTTGGCCTTTTTTATATTAGCATTACTTTTATATCATCTGCTGATAGGCCGCTATATTAAGCTTGGGCGAACCTTTATATTCAAAATCGATAAATTTGTGTCAGATCGCTGTTTTAGTAAAGCATAATCTGTGGGATATAAAATCTCAATTTGTTTGGGACACATGGAGGAACGCGCATGTTTTCGTTGTTGTTAGTATAATTTTAAACCGACTCCATAATCAGCACAGTAGACGAAGCGTTTAAATCGTAAAGATTTTAGATGGAAAGGTATTGTTAGAAGAAGTACCAATAGTACTAGTACATATTCACTCACCCTATAATATGTGCGTGGTGTTCCATTGGCGAAAACATGAAATATGTAGATATAACACGTTGAAATCTCCGGTTCAATTCTCAAGTTTACCACCTCACTCAAGATATACTAGCTTTCTATGTAGCTATCTATGTAGCAGTGACTGTTTATGCCAAGCCTCGTTTGATGCAAATTCCCCTGCTTCTTCAGAGCAAAATAGTATAAATTCATCATAAAAAATAATTTATTCAATTTTCCTCCAGGAGCCTATAGTGACTGCATTGGACCAACCAACGCTGAGTCAGTTTCCTCGTTCTCAACTCGTGGATCGAGCAACGCGACGTCGAATACAGAGCGATACGACTGGGAGCACATTGCTACAGCATTCCATGTAAGTTAGAAGTAATAGGAGTTTGAACATAGGGTACTCCCGTAGTATGTGAAGCAAGATGGCGGACACCAGATTGTAGTATGTGTACCAGGTTAGGTTTAGGCCATAATTTCAGGTTCAAATACTACGGGAGTCACTTAGCTAGTCCTTGATCTTAATAGAACTAAAATAATAAAAATTGGAATAAAATTATGGCCTAACCCTAACCTGGTACACATACTACGCTCCGGTGTCCGCCATCTTGGTTCACATACTACAGTAGTAACGAACATTGAATGTAATTTTGTTGTCATCACTGGCTGGAAATGTCAGGTTGAAACCCTGGGCTCGCCACCTCATCGAGGATTCAAACTTTTTGGTGAAATAAATAAATTGAGTAGACGACCGAATGAAAAGAGTCCGGCAAAAAACCGCAGCTCAATATGCGTCTAGTTGTTGAGAAATTTGTCTCAGTGGAAGGTTGGAATCATGTTTTTCTCCGAATGAAAAGTATAATTCTTATCTTTTTGATATAAATGGTTGGGGCTCCATGATTAGCTTCATGAATACGGTTTCTATTTTCACATGTATTACCCTAACCAGTGTGAGGAAAATTATTTACGGGAAGGTTGTAGTCTATTCTGTTGCCTTGATTACTTCTGGCTTTTACAGCCTCTTTTATCATCAAAGATTTGGATTTGATGGATTTGGCATGATTAACTGGTCAAGTGCAAACTTGTATAAAATAAATAGTTCACACCAGGGCTGGAGTCTTGGAGCTGTGACCTTTTGGTGGCGCGGCGGTGTGGCTCATCGTGCTAAGCGTTAGGAAAACGCTCACCACCGCACCTCTGATTAATCTGTGTGGGTTCGCAGGTTCCAATCGTATGCGGGGATGGTTATGCGTGAAAGAATTGCTGGACTGGTGGTTCATGTAATCACTGGTCATTACGGCTTCCTCAACCACCAAGTCCGTACTCCCGAAATAACAAAATGACTAACTAATCCCATACCCGACATGTAATGGAAACCGGACGAGGGGCCGTGGTTTCCCCATATAGTCAAATATTCACCCCTGGTTGAATATGTAAATCCTAAGACTTCGTGGCTGTCGCCAGAGTCGCTGTGATTTTAACCAGCTTCCCAGCCCTGGTCTACACACAGCTTTTTGTAAGTCAGTGGTTTCAATCGTCTAAAACTCTCTCCATTTTCAGTGCTCCTCTGACACCAAGACTGACACCAAGTGTTGAAGTAAAAGAGAGATCTAAAACAACAATCAATCAGGTATGTTGATATGGAGGAGAGACGTAAATTGCATACTAGAATAAGATTATTGCTGGCCTCGACGATGTGGTGCATCGTGCTAAGCGCTAGGAGTAGTACGCTCACAACCGCACCTTTGATTACCCTGCGTGGGTTTGCACGTTCGAATCCCATGCGGAGAAAGTTATGTGCGAGAAGATTGCTGGACTCTTTGCCGTCATGGAGGTTTACGTAAACTCTAGTCGGTACGGCTTCCTCCACCATCAAGCCCATGCATCTGAAAAAATAAAACTAACCCCATACCTGTCATGAATTGGTAACCGGGCAAGGCCGTGGTTAACTATATGACTAAGCCATCTTAATGGCTATCCTCTCTCCAGGATCTTATTCCACCTTATGGGCTTTCTTCTCTTGGAGTTAGATTTTAAACATCTTTTCTCAAATATGTGGGAGGAGAGCATAGCGATATGTTATCCAAATTTTTTACATTTATATTCTTATGTTTAGTTTGAGCTTATGCCTCGTCTCAAATCCGAGAAGAGAGACACCAGCACCCAAGGTGACATCATAGAGGAGGATGATGTCACAATGGAGAACAATGAACTTGAAAACAATGGAAGCCACAACCCCAAAACTCCCACTGGAGATGAAAAGGTTGAAAAGCTCTTGAGTGCTTCTTGTGGTGATAGAGATGAAGCGAAGCGAAACAGTCTGCCGTCAAGTTTAACGAAGCGTGAATCAAGTGAAACCATTCAAGCACGACCACTGTCAACGTCTTGTGATGTCATCAATGATGTTAGAATCACTAAGATTTCTTCAAAGCAACCACAGCACTGTGACATCATAAAAGCAGCAGAATCTTATGGTTCAGTGTTTTCTTCACCGCCTTCATCCAGACAAGAGTCTCCGAAAGGAGCATCGGTCAGTATTTAATACTTATTCGTTGGGAGAGAGTGTCTGCTGAAATCACGACTATACTTTTTATGAATATAAATTTCAATTGAAAAATCGATAAAAACAACGTCATAATGACTCTGATGTTACATTGTGCTCTTATTATTATATAAACGTTGGACTAGCTGTTGTATATAAACTTTTCATAGTTTTTCAAATTTTTGTTTGAAACTCCGGCTCCGGCTTCGGCTAGTACCCAAGTCTATTATGTGTAACTGGCCCAAGTTGATAGTCCACGGAATTTCCGTGCAACGAAAATGGTCCACGACAAAAAAAGGTTTAGAACCACTGTTTTAGATGCATAGGCTGGATAGTATCTCTTGCTGTATCTCCATTACAGCAGTGGTTTCGACCCTTTTTATTACTAACCCAAATCTGAAAAAAAATAAAAAACATTTTTATGTGACATCTATTTCCTTGCGACCCCTTCCAATATAGTAGATTTTTACACGACCCTTGTTAAGTTGACTTTTTTATGCAAACGCAGCACTTCTCTAGTTTTCCACTAGTTTTAATAATTGTGTTTCGAATCAAAAGTCTAAAGTATTACTTTGTGTGAAAATTGTGCACTCTTTGCAACCCCTAAAATTTGTTGCGCATCCATTTGTGGGCTCGCGACCTCCAGTTTGGGAAGTCCTGTTCTAAACTTTTCTAATTTCATATTTTCCAGGAACCAGACCTCACCATGACTGATGAACCTGGCCCACAACCTTCAAGTAATGAGGAATGCTTGATCATTACTGAATCTGGTGACGCTTCATCGCCTACAATAACCATGACGACATCATCAGATGTTGCCATGGAAACGGCAGAAGCAACAGTAACAGCAACGCCTCCTTCCCCCATAGTGACATCACCAACAGAGAATTCATCTACCGATTCACCGAAATCCGGCTCACAGAATAATTCGCCGAATTCACCAGCTCATGAGAAATTACCAACACTTCTTGTTGAAGATCCAGATTTGCTGACTCAGCATTTGTTGTCCCGAAAGAGTGAGACCCGTTGCTCTGTCACTACTATGCCTTCTCCCAAGAAACAAAGCCCTGAAGTTAAGAAACGATCAAATACGACAGCTGGGATGACGCTAACTTCGTTTGTAAAGTGAGTTTGTTTGATTGTCATTAGAATATGTCATATCTTGCGAAAATGGGGCATCCTTAGGTCAATTCATTTATGGAAAAAAATAAGTTATTTAATATTCCATGGACTGGTAATATCTGGACTGGTAACTGGCTGAGAGGTCATGGTTTGACATATGATTTCAAGTCCTGCTGGTCGAATACAGCTTCCACTACCATCAAGTCTATCTGAAACAAATAACTGGATACCTAATCCCATACAAGACCTGGACTTAGATAGATAACCATAGGAGAGACAATTTTTTGGCATGTGATTAAACCAAGGGTGGGCAATTACTTTTCTGGGCCAGTTACAGATAATAGACTTGGTTACTGGGCTGGAGGCTCAAAACTAAATCCAAAAAATATGAATAAAAAAACAGTTTATTTACAACAGATATGCAAACGTTTATATAACAATAAGAAGCACAATGCAACAATCGGAGTTATTATGACGTTTTTTTCATTGATATTTTCAACGGGAATTTATATTCATAAAAAATCATAGTCATAATTTTAGCAGACACACTAAGGTCAGTTAAAACACATTGGTGGGCCGGTCCGCAGGCCATAATTTGCCCACTTCTCGATTAAACCATCTTTTCGATTTTACTACACCTCGCTTTCAATAAAAAATTCCTACCTCAGTTTCAAAATACTAATTTTTATTATTTAGAACGCAAACTCCTCCGCCGACAGAGAAGCTGATATCACCAATCAAAAGAAGAGCAACAACACAGTAAGAGATTCAACTATGATTTCTTGTCCCCTATCTAACCCAGGGTGTATCACAGTGGTTCCCACAGTTGATTGACCGAGGGCCAAATTAGAAGCAGAAGGGTATTCGAGGGCCGGAAGTGGGGAGTGCCCGCTAGGAGTCGATACGGGTAGCGCTACATATAATTAAGATACCGGTAGAATTGAGTATACACTTGCTTAAACTGTGATAATGACCTAACAATTGAAGGTATCTAGAATGCAAAAACATAAAGCGTCAGAGCCCGAAAGAACACTGAAAAAATCTTACTTCTTTTCATACGCTCTGTTTGAAATTATGCATATCAAACAAATAACAAACCCATGCCTGGTAACCAATCGAGATGGCGTTCCCTTTATGGATGTAATTGGATAAGAGAGAGAGAGATCCTTAATATGATTAATTCATCTAATAAACTTTTCTCTGGCGCGGCGGTGTGGCTCAACGGGCTAAGCCAGGGAATACGCTCGCCACCGCACCTCTAATTACTCTCCGTGGGTTCGCAGGTTCGAATCCCATACAGGGATGGTTATGTGCGAGAGGATTGCTGGACTCCTCGCCGTCGTTGGGTGGTTCACGTAACCGCTGGTCGGTTACGGCTTCCTCCACCACCAAGTCCATGCTTCCGAAAACAAACAATATAACTAATCCCATACCCAACTTGGAATGGTAACCGGACGAGAGATCGTGGTTCGCCATATGGATAAGTCGTCTTATCGGCTTTCCTCTCCCCCGGGATAAATATGTAAATCCTATCCTATCCTAATAAAAAAAGTTTCATATTAGATCATAAATAACAGTGGTTCTCAAACTTTTTAAGTCACGTACCCTTTTTGGAATTTCTCAAGTCTCGCGTCCCACCTCACAAATAACTACCGGTAGCTAACAATAAGCTACAAATAACAGATAGGATGGATGGAACGTAAATAATGAAATAAATGTAAATATCCAAAATAAGGCGGGCAAGATCAAACATATATTTTTATTTTTAATTAGCTTCGCGCCCCCTCAAAAATTGTCTATGCCCCCTTTTTTGGGCGCCTGAACGGTTAAGAACCACCGATATAGAACATCCCTACTTTACCTTGATTTTCAAAAACCTTTCTAAAGAATAATAATATTTGTTCCAGTCCATCGGCATCTAAGAATCGTGCATTGACCTTGAACGAGTTTGTCACGACCTTGAAGGATGAAGCAATTTCTGTAGCCATGACAAATGATCAAATTGATAGCCAATCAGAACCCACGAATGACAACCAATCAAATAACAGAGAATCAATAAATGAACAAAAACAAAAATTGTAAGACTTTTTAATTATGGGCCAGATCAGTGGTTCCCAAACTTTTTGTTCGTATCGCGCCAAATTAAAAGGGAAAAAATTTACGGTCGCACAACCTGAATCCTAACTGGTACACACATACTATGTTCAGGTTGTGCGCCATCTTGGTGCGCATACTTCTGGAGGTCCGTTTCTGCTTTATATATACAACTCTATTTTGTGATCGTAACAGCAAGTAAACGACATAGGAAGGTCAAATAAATTTCTTGATTCATATATACAGCATTCAAAATAAGAAACATTTATGATAAATACAATATGTAAAACATTCAATCATATATTACAGTAGTTATATTTATCACAATCCTGTCGATGCGGTGCTCTTGGCAATAAATTATCTTATTCAATCAGTGTCTCAAACATTCCAATAAAGATGTGAAGTATAAGCACCATCAACCTCTAACCTACTTAGGATTTGAAAAGGAAATATTTTGAATTTCTTGCCATTTTTACAGTAACTATGTTACGATTACCAAACAGCTTGATAAGCTTTCCTCCCCCCCCAATAAAAAATACTAAATTTGTTTTTTATTTTACAGGAACAAGATATTTGTAGATGCCTCAAAGCGTGGTGATCTCTCCAAACTCAAGTTGGCGCTAGAGAGTGGTGCGGACCCTTCTTTAACGGACAGTGATGGGAGTACGGCTCTACACAATGCTGCTAGATTCAACCACCCAGAAGTTGTGCAATTTTTAATAAAAAATGGTGAGTGATAAAATTGGACATAACAAGAGAGCAATGCTTAAAAGGACATGAGTTTTGTTAAAATTATTATGACCTAATTTTTCTGTGATGTGATATTTAAAATGGAAACCTTGTTGTGAAGTATCAGGATGTTGTAATCTAAATTATGATGTCATATTTTATTATGAGGTCATATTTTTGTTCTATGATGTCATATTTTGTTCTATGATGTCATATTTTCTCTATGATGTCATATTTAAAATCATAATGTCTTAAAACAGGTCCTCCTGAACTTCTGAATCAGACAGATAAAGATAGACTCCAGACACCACTTCACAAAGCTGCGTGGTTCGGCCACAAAAAAGTCTGCGAACTGCTGGTTGACGCGGGGGCTTCATTGACTCTGCCTGATTATAAGGTGGGTGAAGTGTTGAACTAGGGAATTTGCGGGGCGAGGAAAGCTGTTAAGATGACTTTTGCAAGTGCCGTACATTTGCCACTTGTTGAAATACTAGTCAAAGTCAAGTATAAGTGGATTTTAACCAAACTTTAATTTCATATGTTTTGGCATCAATGGAGGGAAACATAGCTTGGAGTCTCACCTTGTGGGAAGATGATTGCTTGACTTCTCACCACCGTTACATGGTCTAGTCCAGTGGTTCCCAAACTTTTTGGAGTTGAGACCAGCTTATGGCGACCCATTTAACTTTAATAAATTAATAAAACATTGATGGAGGAAACAAATTTATTTTCTCAAATTGAATTTTCAGTGAAGCTAGTGAGAAAGATGAGATTGTTTCTTGCTATTTTCCATAATAGACTTGACATTTATTTCAATTTCAGATAGTTTTAGACGTAAAAAATTGAAAAGTTGCAGTTTATTTCGAAATTTGCTTTTAAAATTTGCTTTGCCACTGATCCTAATAACCACTATAATTAATCAAAGCTTTCTACATCTTTTCACAACCCACTAAGATTCCTTTCGACCCATAGTTTGGGAACCACTGGTCTAGTCAGTTACGGCTTTTTCCACTATTTCCTATTTTCCTAATAAGGTGATCATTACGACTATGTTATCGCCCCACCACTAATTTTCTGATCTTCTTTATTATTTATTCTGTCCTTTATCTTAGGTTAGAATGAAAAAGCGGGGTTACAGTGATAATCACCTTCTGGCGCTTACTCCCATCCCTAAGTACTAAACATTGATTTGTACAGTACCGTATTCGCTCATTTTGTAGCCCGGGCCCATATTTTTTTAACCAAACTCACTAACCGGGCCCTTATTCAAACCGGCCCTTATTCAAGCATGGGCGCTTGTTATTTTTAAAGAGAATAACGAAAATTTTGACTTTTTCTACGCACCGCAGGTTCAAATCCACAAAAGAAGAAAAGTTTTGCAACGCCCTATCAATATTGAAACGGCGCACTTGGGTGTCGCGGCGCCCAGTTTGAGATTCATGGTGTTACGTATTCAATGCTATCTATCTGTTATGTAATTAGACGCCTAAGGCGTGAGTGTTATCTACCAGCGCTTGAAATTCAACAGCGATGTGTCAAAAGCGCTTCTTATTTCCTATTGTTCTCTACCACTGAAAAATCAGCTTTTACATCGGGTGTTCAAGCACCGGCCCTTATTTATTTTTATGTTCTGTTCACACGGACGGCTATTCAAACGGGCCCTTAATTAAGATCGAGCGGTAAAACGAGCATATACGGTAGTTGCTAAGAAATAACTACTCATTTGTACACTTTGCGTTACTTTATTCTCAGGCCCACTGCACTCATTTTTAACATTTTATTTTTATCTTTCAGGGCATGACCCCACTGCAGCGAGCGCAACAAGCAGAAGACGTCAAACTAGAAGCATTTTTATCACAAGAGGCAGTAAAGAGAATGCAAAATATTTTATTGAATGAAGATAAAGAAACGAAACTGTGATGTCACTATAGAATATTGTGATGTAATAAATATATTTCATTGATATTGTTGTACCAACTTATTACATCATAATTTGATGACAATCACAGAACTTTTTCTTGATCAAATTATGTTCCTATTCCAATTTTCCCTTTTTTCATTGTTTGAACCCAAAATTTCACTGAATTTTTAATGACTGGACCAATATTTCCTCTTATTCTCAAAATTACGCAGTTTTTAAGATTTTCATACTTTTTTCAAGTGATTTGAAATGATGTTTTTTTTATCCAGTAATTTTATGATGAAATTGAATGGTATGAAGAGATATAACACTTTTTGGGGGGGTAGGGCAATAAATGGGGGGTGGCATGTTCTCCTAAAAAAATAGGTTCCGAATATCGGAACTGTTTTTTTTTTTTTTTTTCAAAAATTTGAATTGAAATTCTCGAATGAAACAAACTGGGCTTAACAATTCTAAAGTATATGCCGGTAAAATCTTTTTTGTCATTTTTTGGCTCTAAAAAAAACGGGGAGCGGAGGTCCAAACTACCGGTAGGTAAAAAATTAATGACAACAATTGAATATTTTACATAGAATTAGCGAAATAGTAATTAAAGCGACAAACTAGACCAGGGTTTTCCAAACTTTTTGGGCCTCGGACCCCTGTTTGTGGATATTATTTTATACCGACCCCTATACTAATTTATGTGCGTATCCAAGGAGGAAGGATAATGTTCCATTTGGATAATGAACACAACAACACAAACGACATTAATAAGACGGATCAATTTGTGACAACTCGTGTTAGGCCCAACTCTACGACAACGAACTACTTTAATTGTGTATACTTGGATAGTCTCTCCTGGTTTTCACGCCTCTTTCTTGTAGCAACGGGGCTCAAATGACCTTGGCAAAGTCGTACAAGTTCTCGACTGGTAATAACTCATCAAACGCATACAACCAATTATTACCAGAGATCTACCTCACAGACGCTAAAAGCAACGATCGTCCACATTTACAACAACTTTTTCACTCCCATTGTTAAGGTCTCGTAACAATTACCATTCGCGATTGCGTTAACTTGCGACTTTATCTCTGAATGACTATATAACAGTGGATATACGTTAAATGCATATATTTCAGATTCTTGATATCGTTGCGAACCCCTGTGCAGTCGTCACGGACCCCAAACTGGGGTTTGGGAAACCCTGAACTAGACTATTTAACATCGCAGATTATACATTTTAAATTCAATCCCAAATTTCAACTTTGACCCAAGCTCCAAGTTAATGAAAAATTTCACTCCAGAATTCGAAGGGAGTCAAATTTTGATGTGAAAGATTTTTGTGCAGTAGGCAGGTCTTGTTTGTTGATAATGCTTAGTTGATAAACGATTTTTCCAATTCCCATCAGAAATTTTTAAAATGATAATTACCATTAGAAGTCCAACCCCAAAGAGTTTTTTATTGACAACGCCTATTCATGCTCTCAACTCTGAACACACCGCCACCAATATTTAATAATTTATCGGTAGTTACTACACGGTGGCCGTTAGAAAAGTAGGAAATTTGTTAAACAGTTATTCATTTTTACAAGTTTTTTACACTGATATAAGCTCTATATGTTGTCCACGCACTTCAAAACATTGTCTCAACCTAGAAGTCCAAGCTCGTGTAGCGTTGAGAAGGTTAATTTGTGGGATATCGTTCTAATTCAACCTATACCTACACGCATTTTATTGGTGATCTCATCTGGTTTTCAAATTTTCTTGCTTTTCTAGCAACGTGTATCTGGAATACCTTTCTGGCTCAAAAAATTAGTGGCTGCCCAATTTATTTCGGCCTGGGTGACATGGGGTACAAAATTTATTTCACCATGGGGTACAATTTATTTCACCCTGGGTGACCTGGTGTACAACATTTATTTCACCCTGGGGTACAATTTATTTTACTTTGGGTGACATGGTTACAAAATTTGTTTCACCCTGGGGTAAAATTTATTTTACTTTGGGTGACATGGTTACAAAATTTGTTTCACCCTGGGGTAACATTTATTTTACCCTGGGTGATATTGGGGAACAAAATTCCAAATCAGAGAGTTTGTTTATTCCAATGCAATAAATCAAATTGATTTGTCACTTGCTCTTTTTTAAATAGAAGAAATCAATTTGAATGAAGCATCTTCTCACATGATTGGTCTATATTTAAATCGATTTATGATATCATTATTGGATAAAAATAGCAACATTATGATGTCACAATATTTTTTGTTTTGATTTATTATTTTATCATCAAACTGTATTTAATTTTATTATTATGATGACTAATTATGAATTTTCTTTTATTTGTATTATTACGTTATACAAGTTCTATCGTTACGTCATCAATTCTTGTTTTAATTTCTCAGTGATAAGAAAATATGCATCGTACATTTTGCACCTACCGTTCTTCAGCAATTTTGTGTTTCCACAGAAATAAAGAGTTTTCATCGAGAATGGTGTGGTGCTGTGAGTCAAATCAACTTTGCGATTTGAGTCTCAAGTAAGGCTTGGTATTTTGAATACCTGATGATTTCAGAATCGAATCGAATATTTTTTATAAATCGAATCTTAATTGCTTACGCTGCGATGGACTAGCCCAAAATTAGCTATCAGTACCTGTAAGTGGCATTTTCGAATACCTGATGTTTTCAGGATCTACTTTTTTTTAATCAAATCTTGAATACTTGGAAGATATTTAATTAAGTGTGACTTCTTATTGCAATGTGTTCTCTCAGCATAAATTACTGAAAATATAGAATCCATGAACTCAGTTAGTTCGCTGAACGTTTTCATTCCATATAAAACATGCTTCATCATTAAAAAATCACTAGGTTTGAGCCTAATTTTTGTCGAGTCATTTTAGCATTTCGTGTTGTTGCTAGCCGGATCACGATGCAATTTTATCTGGGAAGAGGAAAATCAAAAATGTTGTTTAATCGTCTGGCAAATTTTACCTGGCAAAGAGGAAAGTCAATGATACGGCCTAATCGTCCAGTTGAACACGGCCCTTCGTCCAGTACATAATGACGAGGCCAACATTCGCCCTCCAATAGGGAAAACTAACCCCAGTTGAATGCGGATGAGTCCATTGTTTATTTTAAAACATGCCAGGGGTGTTTTTCTCTCTTTCTTTGTTCAAGAGATCCAATAAGTGAATTCGGATATTTTGTACAAAAAAGAACAGCCGAGCAACGCCCAAACTTAGTAATTATCCAGTTAGGGTTAGAAAAGCAGATTTGCTGGAAATTCAAATTTTCGAATCCGAACTGAATTATTGCTAGAGTGTCTTTCTCAAATCTCACATTTTTACATTTATGGACGGGGCTATTGTACAAAAGATCCCTGGGTGGAAAGGTGGGTATGGGATTTGAATCAGCCACACCAGCGTAGTTAAATCTAAGGCGCTCCAGAAGTGTGTGTACCAATATGGAGAGGTAATTAATTTCGTTCGCCTATTTTACATCAAGTTGTGTAAAATTACTTAAACCTATGGGCAGGGCGTATATTCACTTGGCTAACACAGACAGTCCCTGAACTAGTAATAAAACTAAAATAAGGAAAATTGGAATAAAATTATGGCCTAACCCTAACCTGGTACACATACCACGAAGTACCAAATCGAACACTTTCACGACTGAGCCATAGTACCCAGGGGGTAACTTTACCCTGGTTAGGAGCCCCATAGCTTAGTGACAACAACTGAGCAAAGGGTCCTATGCAGTAGCAAAATTTATTGATCAAAAAGAAAGCGTAGAAATAGGACAGTACATGATGCCAGAAAAATGACAGTCATTTTAAATACAAGCCATAAATATGCAGCAATAATCGCCAAAAAAACTTATTTCAGCTCAAAATCAATACAAATAAGGGTTCAAAAAATCGTTTTTTTTTACAATCTCAGAACAATGAAACAAGGCCCGCTTATAAGAGAAATGAATTCCTCAAAATGAAGTCATCGCTGAAATACCAAAAATTATAATTTTTTTTCATGACGTGTAAGTCAGTTACTATATTAGGAAGTACCAGCAAGGGCGTAGCGAGCTGTTTCGGTCTCACTTAGCAGTTAGAAATTTCACAACCCCCTCACACTCACCCTCCCTTTAAATATTCCTAGCTACGCCCGTGAGGACAAGAATCCAGTTCGATATTTCAGAAACAAGGAGATACGTTTTTAACAATTTCTCTCAATTAGATGAGTCCAAAAAGTATGTTCAAGAAATAAAACAAAAAATCGTAAGGGTTCAAGTTAGTTCCTGCTTATTAGATAATCCATTCAAACAAAAATTCAAAATTGACGAATATAAAAAACAAACAAAGAATGTAATAACATATTTCAAAGGTATATTTTCTGGCTTAAAGAGAGGGATTTCTTATAAGAAGATGGAGTACGTCTGACTTTCTGTTCTGAGTTTAGTCTTTCTGTACCTTGGTGAAGTCCCAGTGGCCGCCTACCAGAGGCTTTTAGCACTCATGGCCCCCTGTTTATCATTCCAGTGGTATTTATAGTGTTTTGATTGGTAGATTCCAAATCCCATTGTGTTCAAACAATTCATGCTCAACAAAGTGAAAACACCCTGTGAAATAACTTTATCAAGCAATGAAACTAGGAACGGGGAGTTTTCTTGTATATGGAAAAGTAAAATCAGTTTCGCCTGGCATTGTGGCCCCCACCCCATTTGTTCTTCGGACCCGGGTTGGGAACCACTGGTGTAGTCCAAAATTAGTTTTCTCATCCAACACAATAACTCCCATTGAGGTCCAGTAAAAACCCTGATAGGAGAGTATCTCATCAAGTGAGGTGAGATTGCCCGGTATAGGCTTTGCAACGCAAAGAAATTGGAATTGCTCGCACGTACCAAATTAACTAAACTAATAACTCGTTTCGTGGGCACATCATTTAAAATTGTCACTATTCCGCGGGCCGCACGATTTTCCCTTTCGGGTCGCATTTGGCACACGGGCCACAGTTTGAACACCCCTGTTGAATATTTGGCAACTTTCCCAAAGTTCAAACTTGCATGTTTTATCATTTTTGTACCGTGGCTGAGTTCAAAATAAATTATCAATTCAAATATGAATAGTTTGGTACTATGGAATCTCATTTTGAATTAACTTCGATTTCAAATATTATCAAAGTTTCGAATACTTTGAATGGAAGGGGTACATTATCCCAGACCTAATGATTAGATGTTCACAAACAATATTGGCTGATTTGGGAAGAGCATAGTATTGGTGATATTACGAGCCAATTATGAGAGTATGATGACAGTATTGTTACTATCCTCTCAAGATTGATTGGTACCGATACCAGATCCTTAATTTTGATAGTATGGTATAAATACCAACCAATTTTGCAGAGAATGGTATCGGTCTTGAAATTATTACCAATATCAAATTGGTATTGAAAAAGTATAAAGTTGGTATATCACCACCGCAAAGTAATTCTACGAAAAAATCATTCATGACACAAAACCATATCATTTTTCTAAAAAAAGATGGATGGATGCACCACAAAAATCCCTAAATCTAACAAAATAGCCCAAAAATTATTAAAAAAGACAAAAGAGAAAAAATCTGTTTACACATATTAGCAAAAAGACTTGAACAAGGAAAAATATACAACAATGAAAAGTACACACAGGGGATACCTTTGATTTAAGATTGATTAAGTTAGGGCCAGACATCTAGTTGGGAATACTTTGTTCAATTATCAAGACTTCTTAGCTTGGATTAGAATATTATTTTACGTTTTCGACAAATTCAAATCAAAAAAGGTATTCAATTTATTCTTGGACCATTTTACACAAAAAGTCAGGTATTTAATCCGATCTAGTTTCTATAATTCGGTCCTAATTATCTCGGATTCAGTCTCTTAATTTTCGGTTCGGTTAGTTTATCCAGATAAACTCTTGAATGAGAAGCCAGATGTCATCATTATCCTACCATGGCCCCATCGTTAATTTTCCAGGGTAAGTTAGGGCGTAAGTTCTCGAAGTGCTCCATGCTGACCTGTGTGAGAAACCTAAAGGCTCTGCGAGCTATTCGCTTACTTACGAATACCGACTTGGCTAATTTTGTAGCTCAGAAGCAATATTTCGATTACTGCCTTGTTGCCACATTTCGACACTACTTTATTAATATGTTTGTCGATTGTCAAATTCGTGGGGCATATTTATTTAGGCTTCGTGAATAGTAGTCAACCTTTTCACAGGCTCCATAACACCAAAATGAGTAAGGGTACAATACAATACAATCTTATTATAACCCCATCGGTAACATTTCTGTTGCGTTTTATTTTCGATTTTGTTTATCTTAGAATATAAAATCATTAGCGAGATGATAACAACAGAATGGTAGCAAAGCTCAAAGCTTCAAATCACTAATAAATTCCTGGTATATGTCATCTTTCCCATGAATCTGAATTCACACAGAGTGTTCAAGTCTGAGGCTTCTAGATGAATTTCAAATACAGTCCATGGCACTAATTGATTTTTAAGATATTATAAATCATTTTTGCTTGCGAAAAAATGGGAATTTCACTATGAATATAACAAAAATGGCTTTCAAAAAAACCAGCAAATTTTAGCAATTTCTAAAAAACGTGAAAAACTACTAATTGGTACAAAAACATGATTCTACAAAATAATTCTTTAAAAAATTGGTCTTAATTTTCTACTACAAGAATCAAAAATACGTTGATGACAAAAAATAACAAGTCTTCATGACATCACAAAAATTTCCTACATTAGCTATGACATCATAATCACGATTTTAGTGTCAAAATTATGACAAAATAATCTGATGAAAACAATTTTCTAAGAAATATTTTGGGTTAATATTGATAATTTACGCTCAATAATTTAAAAAACTTTAAAAAATGGCCTAAAATAGGAATGAAAATTTTACTTTTGGTTGTTTTAGCACCAAAATTACAAAAAACAGAAATTTTTACATCAATCAAAAATTTGACAGAATAATAGGATTTTCATATTTATACCGAAGAAGAAGAAAGCCGATAACACGGATTAATATTATAGCGAACACGGCCTCTCGTCCGGTTACCAGTCCATGTCGGGTATGGGATTAGTTGGTTATTTGTTTTCGGAAGCATGAACTTGTTGTTCAAATGGGCTCGGTTTCAAGACTAGTTACAAGTTTCTCCGACTGTTCAAAATTTCTTACAAAACTAGTTCAATGCAATGAATTGATACAGATCAAAGAAGCTTATAGTTCAGTGGAGGGGGGGGGGGGTAATTTCCAGTAGGCACCAACAATTAGGATGCACTTTAGAAGCCTTATGAATAGATAAAGAAATTTATTTTTATCTAATCAGTCGCTGATAACAACAGATAAGGTACAACATGGGTGGAAATCGATAAAAGATTTGTAACAACTTGTATTATATATTTTACCCGTAGTGGTATTTATAGTGGAAGTGAAGGGGGGTTCAAAAAGCCTAAGACAAATAAGATTTTTTTAAATCATATTCATTTATCTAATCAGTTGTGAAGAGTGTCACTGATAAGGCATAATTTATAGTGTGGAGGGGGGGATGAATTTTGAGTAGGCACTCAAAAATAGATACAAGACTGATAAAAACTTGAATTCTTTATCTAATCAGTTGCAGAATGTCACTGATACCAACTGATAAGGTATAATATATGTTTCAATAGATACAAAATTGATAAAAAGCTAATTTTATATATTTGATAAACTGATAAGCCTTCAATACAGTATCAAAAAAGAACACGATGTCTAGAATATCTAATCAATTTATCAATTATACATGACACATGGGTAAAATTTCAAGCAGCCACTGGGGCTTACAACAACTACATATAGGATAAAGGCTGTTAAAAAAGTAACAGATAAAGTTTTACACACTTGTAAACTGTAAGCAACCACTGGTATACTTGCAGTTCATATAAATAACAGAAAAAAGACAAAAAAATTGTCCTCGGCATCTTATTTTGCCGTTGATATTGACTGATTAAGTAAGTATTGATAAGATAACAAAAAATAATCAGATACGAAAAAAATTACAAATTTTACTTAACTCCTAAAGTACGGAACAAAAATATCAGAAAATATAATAAACAAACAAAACATATTTCAAAAGAGACTTCTTAGTAAGGATGGCTTTCGTGTGCAGGCTTTTCGTCCGAAACTGAAATAAAAAAATATGGATTAGATTTGTTTTCTTGGGGGGAGAGGGGGCAGGTCACAATATTGAAAATTAAACAAGAGAGCAATGCTTAAATATCTGGATTAAAAGTCCAAAACGAAAGTTCGTGTAATGACGCAAAAAATCCGAGACGATCATCACGCTTGGTGAATTATAGACTGTGTTCCTTCAAATACAAAAATACAGCGAAATTTTGGATGAAATATCAGATCTCATAGAAAATTTAGGAATAAATAAGAGCAAAAGCCTTCTAGCGAAAAATAGAATCTTCAACCAGTAAATATTTCAAAGCAATTGGTCCAGTTGTTAAAGAGAAAAGCGACTTTTTCATAACGATAGAATTCTATATTGAAGAATAACAACAATGTAATGACAAACCGCGAATATCGGTCAGAGACCAAAGACTTATCGATCGAAAGTTAGGGGATTCTCCAAAACAGCGCTCTTACTCCATAGTGACACCTTGTGTCCCATCACTAATTAATTAATTACTCGCTAATTATACGACATAATTCGCCCAAAATCAATAGGCTTCTGGTCCGAGATATGATGACTGCAAAATTTGGAGCAGATTCAACCTCGCTTTCGTGAGATATCGCGTGCATCTAACAGACAAACAAACAGACAGACAAATACCTATCAACATACTTATCGATAAAGATCGATAAGTAACAATCCATAGGTTCACTTTTGTGTGTCCAATAAGTTAAACCTAGAATTACTACAGGGTCAAATGAAGCACTCAACCCACTGCAAATAACTAGGTGAAACCGCAGGCCGCACCTTAATTTAACATAGGCTTTCTAGTTGTTGCAGGCACATAAATTTTGGTCATGGATCTTAGCATGTATTGTTCACTTCGCACAAGATGGCTGTTAGGGCATTATAACATTATTATGCATAGATAATGCGGTGCGGTGTGGCTCATCGTATTAGGCGTTAGGAATACGGTCGCCACCGCATCTCTGATTACCCTGCGTGGTTTCGCAGGTTCGAATCCCATGCGGAGTATTTATGTGCGAGAGGATTGCTGGACTCCTCACCGTCGTAGGGTGGTCCACGTAACCGCTGGTCGGTTACGGCTTCCTCCACCATCAAGTCCATGCTTCCGAAAAACAAATAACTAAAACTAATCCCATACCCGACATGTAATGGTAACCGGACGAGAGGCCGTGGTTCGCCATATGATTAAGCCGTCTTATCGGCTTTCCTCTCCCCCGAGATAAATATGTAAATCCCTACCTTCCCTAATAAATTGGACTCGGGTATAGGCTTTGCATCACGAAGGGATTGAAATTACTCGCACGAACCAGATTAAACTAAATGTAAAACCCGTTTTGCGGACCGCATAGCATCAACAATTGGCAATTCTCCGCGAGCCATACAATTTTTCCATATGGGCCATATTCGGCCCGCAGCCGCAGGTTGTTTACCTCCGCATTATACCATTGCAAATGAAACTACTTACAAGAAAAGCCTCTTCAAGCTGTCCTTGGTATTCCATGGTAAATCAGACTTCAACATTCGTTTCTCTTTCAGTAATTCTGTCTCAGGAATCCATTCATCTTGAAGTCTGGTAAATGTAAAAGTGTTTGAGTAGGGGAAAGCATTTCATTCAACACGAAGTGAAGTCCACAATTTAAAAAAAAAACAAAGCTTGGCCCATTTGTTGGCGCATCGCGCTAAGTGTTAGAAATACTCTTGCCACCAGACCTCTGATTACCCTGGTGCATCGTGCTGAGAGTTAAGAACACGCCAGTCCCCGCACCTCAAACCGCAGGTCCAAATGTCATGGGGGGTGAACCATGTGCGAAAAAATTGTTGGGACTCTTCGCCGCCGTAGGGTGGTTCACGTAAAAGTTGAGCTTATTCCAACATCAAGGTCATGCATCTGAAAACAAATAACCGGCCAACGAATCCCATATCCGACATGGAATGATAACTGGATGAGAGGCCGTGGTTCGCCATATTGTTAAGCCACCTTGTCGGCTTTCCTCTCCCCCGGGATAAATATGTAAATCCCATCCATTATGCCGTCAGCTTTCCTCACCCTTTCCTTCCTTATAGTTAATACTTAACCAAAACTTACATATTATCTGGTTTCCATCGAACGAGTACCAACTGCTTTCCGTTCTTGTCGACTCGTTTCCCAATAATCTGCAAGTGAGGTAATGCTTGTAAATGAAATGTACGATATACTAGAGGAGAGAAAAATAGAGCATGAGACAGCAAAAAGAACAGATTCTGTTACGAGAATTCAGTTATTCCTGTTACACTTTAGACTTTATCTTCAGTGATTATGACATTATTGTTCTTTGTGTTGTAATCGGCAGGCGACAATAGACTGCATCCGTCTCACAACATCAGTTACGAGTATCCGTCGGTGGAACGATTAAGTTTGGCCATACTTAGTGCCTCAATGTAATCTATTATTACTTATCGATCTTAAGATCGGTAAGTAGGTTGATAGGTATTTGTCTGTATGTCTGTTTGTTAGATGCACGCGATATCTCACGAAAGCGAGGTTGAATCTGCTTCAAATTTTGCATGTGCATACATCATAGCTCGGATCAAAAGCCTATCGATTTTGGATGGAGTATGTCTTATAATTAGCGAGGTATCAATTAATTAGTGATGGGACACACGGTGTCACTATGGAGTAAGACCACTGTTTTGGGGGATCCCCTAACCTTCGATCGATAAGTCTTCGGTTTCTAACCGATATTCTAGTATTGTGTTAAGATTAAGATGTGTTTTTATTTTCGCAAAAACATAATTTTGAGTATAATAAATAAACTATCACAACAAATTAAAATACATGAATTCAAAAATGTAAGAATTGTAGAGGAGAAAGCAAAAAGAAGAAAAAGTTAATCCTAAGGCAAGTGTGTGGATCAGCGGTGTTCTGCATCGTGCTAAGCATAAGGAATACACTCGCCACTGCACTAATTAACCTACGTGGGTTCGCAGTGTTGAATCCCATGCGGAAATAGTTATGTGCAACAGGATTGCTGGACTCCTTGCCGCCGTGGAGAGGGTTCACATGACTGCTGGTCATGCTTCCGAAAACAAAAAACTGGCCAACTAATCCCATACCCGACTTGGACTGGTAACCGGACAAGAGGCCGTGGTTCGGCATATGATTAAGCCAACTTATCGGCTTTTCTGTCCCCTGGTAAAAAAATATGTAAATCCCAAGTCGTAAATATTTTATCTAATCTGAGGTTTTGAAATATATATATGGACGCCAATATTGAACAGTAACCTCAGATTGGAAGACAATGTCTCTTGGTTCACTTATGACATCATCATCAGTTTCTATGGAAACTTCGTTTTGGATGAGCGCACTTCTGATGAAACCAAGTGTTCTGCCATCCATGCAATCATGACGGTTTGCTGTAAAAAGAATATAATTTGTGTAAGCTCGTTTATCCATAGTGAGAGAGAAACTGATTGAATGGCTTAACTTTTTATTATTATTTGCGATTATCATGTAATTTGCCATTAGCTTATCACATTTTTTACTTAAATAATTTCTCTGTGGTTGTGTGTGTGGGGATGAGTGAGCGTTTGTGAAATAATTTAATAATTTTAGGTGAGTGAACACGTACTACTTTTTCTTGGCAATACCTTTCATTTTATATTATGTACGTTTTAAACCTTATCTAAGGTTTTGTTTGCTCTCCTGATTTCATAATCAGTTTTTATTTATTTGATTATCAATCATTTAATTGTTATGCTAATTATAAACCTATTCTTTATTTTCTTGAACAGCAATTTCTCATGCCTGAATAAAGATCTGTACAAAGCCGTCACTGATAGATATGACCGGGGCGTATCTTATAGTACAGCTAAACATGTTGGGTGCTTTTTCAGGTATAAGCTGTTCAGTTTTATGGTTATCAATCCTATACAACCACTCTGGAACAATTACCTGTTTCCGAATTGGTAAATGGACAAAATGCATGATTTGCAGTATGATTATTACATCTTATGGGCTTTCCTAGTTTGGAATAAATAATATTCCCACTTTAAAGTAATATCGAGAAAATACAACTTGAATTCTGGCAACAGTCAAGACTACCATGATTTAGCAAGGTGACATCACAGAAGGAGAGATTCTCACTATCTTTATTATATTTGCAATACTGCAAAATCTCTCGTTCTCATTCTCGGCAATCATTTATCATTTCTTTTATTATCTTGTGAACTGCGCAACCTAGCACACTCTTTTTGCGCTCTTATGGTTATGATTTCTTTTATTATCTCACACGCACTTTGGAATTCTCTCAATTTGTACAACCCGTTCTAATTATATATTTCTTTATTATCTTAAAACGAAACCCGGCTTCTCTCCAATTACATCTCCTCTTATCTTTAGTTCTCTTTAATATAATTTCCCGCCGCTTTTCCCAAGAGGGACGTAATCGATTAAGCTGGTCCCGATTGACCATATTGCCCGCAAATTGACGTGCAAGGCCAGAAATGAACTTTATTTTACAAAAATAAAAGCCGCCGCATAGGCAAAGCACTGTATTCCTTATTTACCATAGGATAGAATTTTCATATTTATCAAGGGGAAGAGAAAAGCCGATAAGTCGGCTTACGCATTTAATACAATCAATAACTTACAATTCAAGTTCATTGATTGATTGATTGATTTAATACAGTTACCAGTCCATGTCGGGTACCGTATGGGATTAGTTGGTCAGTCATTTGTTTTGAGTACATGGGCTATGCTCTATATAAGAAGTTTTTTTAAGTGGGGCCGAATAGTAAAAGGTTTCTAGGCCTAACAATTTCGATTTTGACCGCATAAAAAAATTGCTAAGGAACATTTAATTTGTTTAGTTGAAATGAACATATTGTATAATCGTTTGATATATGAACAAAAACCATTTGACATCAATGTATATGTAATGTTGGATTTACAGAACGTTTTTGGGTACTCTTGAAGAATGTGAACCAAGATGGCGGACACCGGAACGTAGTATGTGTACCAGATAAGGTTAGGCTATAATTTCAGGTACAAATACTACGGGAGTCACTTTGCTAGTCCCCAACTCATAATAGAACTAAAAAAAAAAGAATTGGAATAAAATTGTGGCTTAATTAACCCTAACCTGGTACACATACTACGTTCCGGTTTTCGCCATCTTGGTTCACATACTTCGGGAGCGCCCGTCTTTGTGTATCACTGCCATAATTGAAATTTATCGGAGGCCCACGACGGATGCAAGGGATGGCAAACCTATCTTATTGAATGAGTCACACATTAAATTTTTACCATGAAAAGAAGAAGAAGGTGACCGTAGATATATATAAATCAGCCATTCCCAGCCGAAGAGGTATTTTCATTTTGTATTTGTGTCGAATATTACTGATATACTTTACTATTTATGGATATACAGGGTGTCCATAGATATACAGGGTGTCCATAAAGTCCCTTTACAATTTTAATTTCGTTATGAAGTCAGTTCTCAATATATCTTAACCAGGTTTGTTGTTTTATAATCAGTAATTGTTAAAGTATTATTACTTCATTTAATACATCTGTGAGGGCCAAAACAATATCGATACATTCCCTTTGCAATTTTAAAAAAATTAAAGACTTCATGGACACAAATTGTACCAAGCCCGAGCGCATATCACTAGCTAACGATATATTGATGGTTAAACAACAAATGTAAATGCCTATTTTTTTGAAGGGAGATTGAAAAGTTTTAAAATGGGCAATGGGGGGTAACAAAAAGTTTGGACATATTATGCACTCGATTGCACTTTAAGAAGCGGTACTCCCGTAGTATGTGTACAAGTTTAGGGACTGTCTGTGTTAACCAAGTGAATATACCCCCTGCCCATGGGCTTCAGTCCCTTTATACAACTCGATGTAAAATAGGCGAACAAAATTAGTTACCTCCATATTGGCACACAAACTTCTGGAGAGCCATAAGAAGCATAGGGATCCAATTAGCTAGCTATACAATCTCATTTTTTAACTGGCAACCGAACAACCGCGGTTCACCATACACCGAAATTAAGACGTTTTATCAGCTTTCCTTGCCCTACGATAAAGATGGAAATATTATCTCTATCAGACCACGAATTGGCACGAAACACTTTTTTACTAAAAAATAAATTTATCTGAAATACTAATTTTCAACTAAATAATTGCCAACTTACCAAGAGTTTTTCTTTTATCTTTTACCCTCCTAGAATTGAGCAGATATCGGGAAAACCCCCCGTTATCACCCCCTACTCGAGCTTTTGGTAAAGACACTTCAGAGTAATGTGCTTCAACGTGACGTTTTCGACTGCATAATGACGAGAAGGATGCGTCACAACCATCGAGAATGCACTGTGAAGAAATATCGATTTTGATTAGATATCACAACAAAATTATTTACTGCTAAACCCCTGTTGTCCTGATTTATCCCTCGGAAGGACAAAGTCAATAAAGGGACTAAATGTCAGAAATTGATATTTAACTTCAAAGTTTTTAATTTTGAAATTCTAGTGAGCACAATCCTTTTTTGGTTCCGTCGGAAATTTTGTTTTTTGAGTACAAAAAATTCAAAATTTTTACTTTCACGTTGAATCATACTCTTATATAAACGAAAACGGGCAAAACTCAGGCTCGGATTTTAGGAATTAAAAAGAAGGCTTAAGCAGCATTGAAAAGATGACAAACTCTGATATCGGAAATTCGGCCTACAACCTCAACACCAAGAAACATACCTAATTCCAGCTGCGGAGGAGTTCGAAATACGACTTAAAAGTAAGACACCAAATTAGGCGAAGTATGTTTACCAATATGGAAGTGACTTATTTTTTTTCGCCTATTTTACATCAAGTTGTGTAAAAAAGGATCCTACGGGCTGGGGGTATATTCACTTGACTATCACAGACAGTCCCCGAACTTGTAATAGAACTAAAATGAGAAAAATCTGAATAAATTTTTGGCCTAACCCTGACCTGGTACACACACTACAGGAATACCCCAAATTATATGTCAAAATCCGATTAAACAGCACTGATCTTACCTTAAATGGCTTCTCTCCGCTATGTTCTCCGATATGTCGTTGTAGAAATGACAATTTCCTCGAAACAATTTCGAAGTATCGGCAACCCTTCCATTTGCATGAGTAACTGAAATAAAAAATACATTGTAAAATGCATTCACTAAAAATAGGGGGGGGGGGGGGGGGGGGCAATTACATTTTTGAGTGGGCCAGTTACAGATAATATGATGTTATTTTCAAAGGAAATTTATATCCATAAAAACTAGTCGCAATTTCAGCAGACACAGCAGGCCGTGATTTGCCCACCCATGCATTAAATCATTGTGGTACACAATACATTTATCCCTGGACAGAAAGAAAAATTCGAAAAACGGCTTTGTATATAACGGCTTATATATTTATATACAAGCATTGAACTCTTGTCTTTAGTAAATCAATTTGTGAAATCGCTGTTATTGTTAGCAAGAAAAATCATTTTCAAATATATTTCAAATCTTCAATAATTGGACTTTTATATCACACATGGAGGCACTTTCCATATAAAAACATTGTCCATGTATAAAAGCATTTTTTATTCATGTGAACGATATCATGTGTTTTCTGTTTTTTTTTTCTCATGGGAACACTTTTCATGCCATCGTGCCCATGTATTTAGGCATTGAATTCATGTTTCTATTATTCAACAAAATATCTTACTTTTCAGCATGACACTCTTGCAGATGTGTGTGTAGATCTGCACCACACCGGCTCTCAAATGGGTTAGGGCAGCCGACCCATTGGCACTGGAATTTCTCCCGTAACAATGCCTCTTCTGTTAAAATAAAAATTGATTTAATCGATATTCAACATTTGGTGCTCCCGAAGTATGCGAACCAAGATGGCGGACATCGGAACGTAACATGGGTAACAGGTTAGGGTTAGGCGATAATTTTTTTCCAATTTTTCTCATTTTAGTCCTATTATCAGTTCGAAGACTAGCCAAGAGCCTCCCGTAGTATTTATACCTAAAATTATGGCCTAACCCTAACCTAGTACACATATTACATTCCGATGTCCGCCATCTTGGTTCGCATACTTCGGGAGCCCCAAACATTTTTTATGAATCGCCCCAATGAAGAGGGAAGGGTAAAAATATAAGAGTTGCATGCCGCACTGACATTTAGACGACTACAAGGGTTTTTTAATTTAAATTTGCTCAGAGCAAGGTGCAATACCATCGACTAGAATTGGGATGAGTACCAAGAAAAATTTTTAAGTCCTGACACACTGATGGCTATAGAAGAGTTTTTGATCCAAGTTTGCCTGCCAAGGTCCTGAACCCTCAAATAAAAATGGGAAAATAATGATAGATGTGTTTATTGCAGGGGTGTGCAACGGGCAGCCCACGTGGAACGACTTGACCCACCAAGCCATTCAGTGTGCTTCACTTCACAAGAAAACTCCCTATAAGGTTATTTCACAGGGTGTTTTTGATCTGTTCAAAATTATTGAGATTTGGAATTTACCAATCAAAATAACACCATAAACACCGCTAGAATGACAAACAGGGGGCATGAGTGCTAGAAGCCCCCAGGAGGGGGGGGGGGCACGAGCCATGAAAGGCTGGGTACCACTGTCTTACAATTTGTCCGAAATTATTTGATTGAGAGACCCACCTTGCTTTTTTTTCTCCTCCCTCTCTCGTTCCTGTGCTTCTACAATCGATTTTTGACAAAGAATGAGGCGCTCTCCAATTTCCTCCCCAGTTTGAGAAATTTTTGAGATTTCTTTATGATCTAACAATGTATCATTGTTTGATTGTATTCCTGAATCATTTGATTCAGTCCGTGATACTCGCTGCTTTGTGATGTCACAGTCAATGTCTGATTTTAATGATGACTCATCACATTTTGAGGGAGGGAAAGACAGTAAACTGACCGAGTCACTATCGGGGGTCGCGGACGAGCAACTCGACTCTGAGCCAAACCCAGAATCTGGACTATCCACGAATTGCTCGGAATCGGAATTGCTATCGCTTGAACATTCATCATCTTGCCACGGTTCTCTTGTTTTAACTTTTTTCTCAGTTTTATTCTTAGGGTCTTCCCCCTCCTTACTCCCCGCAGGAGTGGATACAGTTCGTAAAAGTTTTTTAGATGAGTTCATGATATATTCTTGATTTCTTATACCACCTAGTGACGGAGTGGAATGTCTTCGACGTAGATTCATGCTTGTCACAGTGAAATTTTTTGATTTTTCGAAATTTTTGGGGGAGAAAATAATACGACAGTCATTTTGAGATACGTCATTCACGTTGGAAGATTTACCAAGATGCTTCTTCTCTTTTATTCTGTCACAATTAAGTTTCGGGATTTTATCTCGATTTTTTAGCGTTTTCAATCCGAGAGTCTTCCTTATAGTATTGTGTTCTTCATTAACGGGAGTTGACTGTTTCGAACACTTCTGAGCAAAGTTATCGAATTCGAAATTCGTTTTTCGTTTCGTGATAGAGACGTCTAAATTTTTAGTTACCACAGCAACTGATTCAAACAATTTTGAGGAATTGGTGAAAGTACCGGCACTTGGGGTCGTAGAGGTCAAGTTACAAATTCTAAGGGAGGAGTTTGGCCTGGATTTTTTGCTAGAAAAATTCTCATCGGCAAAAGAGGTAGGGGACAATTTTGCATCGTTAATTTTCGAGGTAGGGATAGATAATTCCGTTAGTAAATCGTCTTCGTGTTGCCGTGGTGATGATGGCTGCTTTGGACTGGTGAAAACTTTTCTTTTTCTTGATCGCCTGTAAAAAATAGAAGAATTCAAACTTTGCTTGGAGACCTAGGATTCGGACAGTTAAAGAATTCACATTATGAAAAAAGCAGAATCTCATCAATTGACAACACCTACACACTTTTTTGTACCCAGTGTGGACGGGGGAAAATAGGTAGGTTTTCCAATTGGGGGGGGGGGGGGGAATGGTGAAACTTCTAATTGCCAATTTAGACCTCAACAGATAGTTCTAGAAAACGAGGGTTTCCCAGAATCTTGGATCAAGACTCTAAGAAGTGTTTAAAATATATGTCTGTTCTTGTGGAGGAAATTTCATTTAGTTTTTGGTGTAATTTCACAAATATTGTTTAGCCTTATTATTGAAATAGTATTTGCAGATATATTATAAACTATTCAAAATGCGTAATAAGCCTGAATAAGAATTTTGCAGGCTTCAGACCTGTTGAGATTAAACAAAAAACAGAAATAACGTTTTTATGGGTATTGAGGGAGAAATGAAAAATGTCCAAAATATCCGACAGGAGAATTTTATCAAAAAAGGTCTGTAACCAATGGCGTATGGGTTTTTGAACCCAATATTTTTAATCTGCAATACTGACCTGAAGGCCATGGCGTCCATTTTCCTTTTTGCACCAAAAAAAATCTCAATCTAATCTTACTAGACATTAATTAGAAAAATGAGGGAGAACCGCCGGTTCCAACCACATTAATAATTCATTGGAGCTAAACAAGGAAGTCTAGTGGGAGTTCAAAGGTCAACTTTGGTCTCGTTGTAACATAAAAAGGGTACAAAGTCCGTATCTTGTGTTATCTTGCGATATCTAAGGTAAGGGTCGCCTAAAATAATTAAGTTTGAATAATTTACTATTCTGAGTGCATCCTAGACTAATATTTTCGAATATCGAATAAATTTGCAATAGTTCAGACCAAGAAAATTGTGCGGCCCGCGAAAAAGTGCCAATTTCGAATGATTTGCCACCCGCGAAACGAGTTTTCAATTTAGTTTAATTTGATAAGTAAATTCAAGTAATTTCAATTCCTTTGCGTTGCAAAGCCAATGCCTGATTGCAATTTACTATCTATGCCTATGACATCACAATGCTCTAACAGCTAGCTCATGTGAAGCTAACAACCCATGTCTTAATATCAATAACTACTCACACATGTTCTTATTCACAACGGGATTCGAGCCCACAACCTGAAATTCTACAAATAAATTATAAATTTACCTCCTTGGTCTAATTTCAAAGTCGGGTAGTTGGTCTTCCTCTTCGAAGAGAAATTTTAGGTCCGGCCCGTAGTCGACGTACTCCTCAATATCGTAGTATGGCTTCAGTTTAGAACGCTTTCTTGATCTCCTGAAATTCAAAAATCATTTTGACTTTTTATCTGAACTGGATCTAAACGGGCAGTTTTTGAAATGTTCGAAAAAATAATCAGAATAACAAATGTAATAGAATGGGCATAAATGTATCCCGGAGAAAGCAAAACCGATAAGACGACTTAATCATATGCCATCATATCGTCCTGTTAACAGTCCATGTCGAGTATGGTAATAGATATCCAGTTATTAGTTTCAGATGCATGGCCTTAAATGTGCAGGGAGGCTGTAATTGACAGTTAACTTGTGTTCTCATTTACATTTTACCCAGGTGATTGTCATCCTGGAATGACCGTGCTCTGATCCTATTTCCCACTCTTTAACTGACCAGCACAGCATTATGGTATTGCATTATGGGTAAAACCACTGAAGCGTGCTTCCTGGGTATAGATACTGCTATGCTGGTCTCCAGAGGTCATTCAGTACTTCAGTATAGCAGAGGCAACATTATGTCTGACTTTATATTCTGTTATTTGTGGTGACAACTGAACTGTTTATGTTAAGTAATGCTTGTGTTCAATAAAACATTAATTTACCATAGTTACGTGAACCATCCTACAACAGTGAGCAATCCAGCAATCCTCTACAAACTTCTAAATACCAAAAAATCTGTAATAGCCACAAAAAGCACCCTATCTCATCAAAGTAGGAGCTTGTCTTGAGCCTTGTTCTTAGAGAATAGAAATAATTAAAATTCACTTACATTTCCATTGGATGTTTCATTGCACTTTTCTCTTCCATACTCTCGTCCGCCCACCTGATATCGCGCATGAGTGATCGTCGTTTCATTGGAATACGAGGTGCCTTTACCGGTGTTTCGTCGCTACTGTAAGATAGTAAAAGATGGATTTTATTTATGCAGTGTAATACCCAATGTATATTTAATGAATTTGAAAAGGCAAGAACATTGGATGGAATTTACATATTTATTCCAGGCAGAGGGAAGTCGGTAAGATGACTTGATCACATGACGAACCACGGCATCTTATCAGGTTACTATTTAATGTCTGGTATGGGATTAAAGGTAGCCAATTATTTGTTTCAGATGCATGAACTTGATGGTGGAGGAAGCAGTAACCAACCAGCGTCTATGTAAACTACCCTAAGGTGACGAAGAGTCCAGCAATCTTCTCGCACATAAGTATCCCCATTTGATTCAAACCTGCAACTCTTACATGGTAATAAGTACCTGTTATAATCTCTGTCTTCTGCGTTGAATTGTTTCTCAGATTTTATCGGAGTTGACTGTGGAGGAGTCAACTTGGAGGTGATTGGAGTCAACTTGACTGATGGTGGCTGAGCTGTGATAACACTTGTTCTTACAAACATTTCAACATTCTGCTTCTTCTGAAAGTCAATGAAGCATGAATGATCAGAATAATCTTATCCTGCTTAACATATGCCACTGCTGCTTTATAGTTTTTACTTCTCCAAGTTAATGTAAACAGTTTGCATATCTGATAAATAGTATGTAAAATCCTATTTTATATCTGACCAAGTATTACGTATACACTTTTTTACAAAAGCTTGCTCAAAGCAAAGTCACAAAACTATAATTAAAAGAAAAAAGAGTGCTTGCAAGCAAAATTAATGATATCTATTCTTGTGCATAAACATGTATAAAAAATATGGGGTCTTGTGTAGTTTCGTACCTCAAGTACTTCTAGTGGGCGTAGCATAACGATTTTCGCATCCGTTATTCCTAACCCCCACCTGACTACGTCATCCAAAAATTGCGTACTTACTCATATCAGAATCATTGCAACGTGAAAAATAGCTTGCTCGATTTCGGGTGATCGTCTGCGCGTCTTGTATGACAGTTTGCATAGTTTGAAGGGCCTTATTACGCCGTAGTGATGTAATTTTTTAAATGACACAGTCAGGTTGGGTTTAGAGGATTGACATATGAAAAAATTGTTATGCTACACCCACTAGAAGTAATTGAGGTAAGAAACTACGCTAGATTCTAAATATGTATCTGTTTGAGTGTCAAAAACAATACATAGCTCTTATTGGGTCAATGATCCCTTGCAATGTTTCCATCAGTACTCTTCCCACGTTTAGTTGAGGTAACTAAAACTAACTTTGAGCAATCTTATACAAAAAATGAAAACAGTGCGTAGTACATTAGTGGGTGCTTGCAATTCTTTTATCTATCTATGCCATTTTGACTTCTCGTGAAAGCTCAAGAGGAAACTATATGAAAAACTTACCTCAACATATATAGTTTCTTTAGCTGCAAATCCTATGTTGTCCAAAGTCTGGTAAGATCCCATAGAATATCATTTAAGTAATATAATCCCGTTTTTATGATGATTCAAGTATTTGCAATAATAACAAAAAATTTGGCAAAACAACCTTTTTTACCTAAATTAACCTAAATATCTGTGAATACAAGAAATTTAAATTTTTCAGTAAATGGTATCTTGTTATTGCAAATTTCAATCGTTACATCATCGCTAACTTTTTTGCTGATTGGTCATTATTACGGATATAAACAAGGAAATTCATGTTCGTCGATATAAAACCGCGCAATATCTTTAAAAAGGCAATTAAAACACTAAACAAAACAAAAAAGCAGAACAACTAAAATATCAGTTGGCTTACGTGAGGCCAGATATCTATCCTAAATGGCCACCTTTCCCAATTGAGGAATTATTTATTATTACTTTAATACTTATTTATGCACACGTATTGGACTGCACAAAAGCGGGAGTGTGACTTGTGAATAACACTAGCATAGGATAAAGGGATTTACAGATTTTGTTCATCCAATAACGATAAAGTATTCAGCTGCGCTTGTAAGGTTATTTTGCCCAGACTAGAAATAAATTTCATGGATCAATGATATTTCGATTTTTCTATCAACAGACACAGAACAGAAAGAACAAACACCAATTTAGCGATGAAGCGACCACATTGTTGTGTAAGTATAAGTTTATTTTGACTCCATAATCAGCATAAAAGAGGATAAAAACAAAATATATGAAACTGATTCTAAGATCGGGAAAGCGAACAAATCCCAAGTAAGGTTTAAAACTTCCAGATTTTAGATTAAACGATGTTGTCAAAAAACTGGTACGTGTCCGTTAATGTCTGACGTTGGATATTTTTAGATTAGATAATTTATTTTAAACGCCGCCATGGTACGAAAATGACAACACTTAGGACGGGAATTCAGGGTAGTCGCCAAAACTGCCAATGAGTTTCAAAACACGGCATGAATGCGATCTCATTTTGTGACATACAAAAGAAAATATGATGTGATAGGATTTTCATATTTATCCCGGTGGAGTAAAAAACGACAAGACGACTTAATCATATGGCGAACACGGGCCTATCGTCCGGTTTCTAGTCCATCCCAAATAAGGGACTGGTTAGAGTTAGACAGTTATTTGTTTCAGATGAATGGAAAGCAACATGAACAGTATGATGTGATGCTCTCCAATCGGACTTTTAACTTCTCAGGTAATACATGTTGTGACTATCACGTGGCAAAAATACGAATAATAGTGAAACGCGGACAAGTATTAGCACTGGCGGGAAAGTTGTCAAAACTTTAAAATGAGATTTAAATATGAGACATAAAAGTGCATGAGCAATTCCACCTTAAGTTATAAAACACGATGAGATACACTAACCGGCCCTCTGTTTCACAAGTACGCACAAAAATTCAATCAATCATTTTATTTCGGTTCTCTGATATGTAACAACACAAAGCATAAACAGGCAAACAAAATGCAGAGGCACCTGGAGTGCGAGCATAACTTAAAATAAAGTTGAAAAACGTACAGGTACCCGCCCACCCATCAAAATAAAAAATATTATAAAAGAGCGATTAAATTAGCTTGCACGTTTTCATATTTTATTATTACAAGTCCTGTTCGCTTGTCTGACATCCTCATTTATGCTTTAATAATTTTATAATCCACGTTCCGCCTCAATGCAAATTACAGAGCCCAAAATTAACTCAAATACATATATACATATATTTAATTACGGTATGTCATTTTCGCGCTTTCATTTTTATACCGGCGCAAGTTTATTCAGTTGCACGTTTAAACTTCAGAAAATACTGAAATTTGCAATTTAATGTCGTTCATATCAAATTTAAGTTAGCGTTAAAGAATGGAATCGACTTTGCTTTCAAAATGTCGGAGCGACAGAGAACAAAGAAACCGTGTAAATTGCAAATTCATTATGAGCTCTGCTTTGTATAACCGCGATAACGCACGGTCTGACATAAAATATTGAAAATTCGAAAACGTTTTTCTGGAGCGACGGGGACATATGGGATATTATAACTATCTTAAATGCCGGCAGTATTTGAATGAACCGTGTTATCGGCTTCCTTCTCCCCAACTGGAGGACTATAAAACGCTATTTTTGACACACGGAATTGGTAAACGAAATTGCCGCAATAATGTGATTTGCATAGCCTCTCTAACTTTCCTCGAAATAAATATGTTACGTCAGGTCAAACTATTATTTTTTTTTCTGAAAACGTTACTTTTAAATTGTTTTGAACTGAGGTGAAAGGAACCACAGAAAAAAATAATCGAAACTTTTGGTTGGGCAGTGACAGGATATCTATAGATTCAATAAAAAAAATGTTTTAAGCTATTCCAAGATTGCCGCTGACAAGAAGACCGAAAGTCACCTCACGGTTATCCTGCCCATTCCGGGCAAAGGCACTATATGCAAATATTTCGTGATCTCTCTTGCTTTTATTTTATTGTTCTTTTCCTGAATTGCTAATAAAAAACAATTTGATTGAATGAAATGGTGACCGTACAACCACGTACATTTGAACCCATGTGTATATCCGCGGGTTCAATCTATATGCGGGTGCTAAAACCCATGGGTTAGGGTTAGTATGGGTTCAAATATCCGCAAAACAAAAAAATTTGTCCATAGGTGCAATAGTCCTGGGTTCAAATGTACGGGAACCGGATGAAATACATCGACAATAACTAATCCCTTGCCTAGCTATATTGGCCTATGGAAAAACGAGAGGACGTTAATAAGTTATTTGCCATATGGATAAAAATGTTATCGGTTTTTACTCGCCGCGGGATAAAATTTAATATAAAAAATCCTAGCCTATTACAGACAACCACCCCACTATAACGTATTTATATGGCGATCCCCGTTCCAGCGCTGCAATCTATTACATTGATCGAGTCGAACTCGCGTAATATTGGAAAAACGATGACTCGCAGCATACCAAATTAGATGTTTGAATAAGTTTATTTTATTAGACGGCTTAATCCTATGACGTACCACGGCCTCTCGTCCAGTTACCAGTCCATGTCGGTTATCAGAATATTTAGCAATTTATTCGCACCAGATGCACGGACTTGGTCGTTGTCCGGGCCAATAAACCTTTTCTGATAACTTCCTAATCCGTCACCGCATACCCCAGCCAAATTCTTCCAAGAGTTCAATGGGTTTCCAAAACTTTCCGCGAAATTTCGTTGATTCTGTTTATTAGGTCAGGATAAGTTAGGTTAGCGAGAGCATTGAATAACAAAAGATAAACAGAGAAAGGCTGGCCAATAAACAAACCTAAACCTAATAAAATCAATAACCTTCTAGCGAAAAATAAAACGCTTTAAGCACTAAAAATTTCAGAGCAATTGATCAAGTAGGTAATGAAAAAGGAATCTTTTCAAAACGATAACGAGAAAGAAAATACTAACAATATGCTCAACAACAACATCATAATATCAAAACGATCGATATGTACATTTCGTGTCCAATGGACGTTTTCCCCGACCCTTATCCCTTGAAATATTCTCCCTATACTTTATCATTGCAAAATTTTCAACGCTGATTTTGAGAGTGTTTCGGAGAGTTGGCCCTTACAAACTGGTTCACATGTTCCAAACTAACATTTTTATTTAAAACAATAAACCACGTGCCGCTTACAGGTACTGATAGCTAATTCTAGTTCAGTCTATCGCAACGTTTGTGGCATTCATTTTTGATTATTTCAACTAAACTAATAATCCTCGAAAGACACAATGACAACTAAGTTATTTGATTGACAACTATTTTTTGAAAACACAACTAAAAACTGACAAATATCCCGAGAAACTATCAAAAAATGGCACTGTTCGCAACCACGCTTGAAATCTGTCTGAGTGAAAGGAGTGTCTGAGCGACGGAATAAATTACAATTGTTACGTCATTGTTAAACTATTGCTGATTTGTAATTGTTACGGAAATAAACAAGGAGATCGATGCTCGTAGAAACATCCATGAGCATAAAAAAGTAAAGGTTGAGTAAACACAAGACAGCACCTAATGCTCTGCTTTACTACTTTTGTTCAATTGTGACGTTACAATATTTCATGCACGAAGAAATAAACATATGAATACAAGCTGCTGTAATACTATACGCGTGGCGCATAATTTCCCTATTCCTGCTTATTCTATTCATCACAGCCTGAGCGAACTAAAAAAGTCAATTAAGCGAAGTTTGAAAACATTTCCAGTTTTTATATTTTCGAAACCTTAAACAAAACCAAAACTACAAAAAGCGCAAGATAACGTTACATTTTTACGCATTCGACGCACGTTACGTTATGCAAAGATATATTTATCACGTTTATTGCGTCACACACTAGGCTATTCTGAGCGTAATACGGTCTGTCGACGTCTATTTTTAATTTTGCGTCTGGGAATACGCGTCGGATTTTTTTTTTAAAAGCATATAATGATTAATTTAAGGCCGTATTTAAATGGCAATAACCTGGCATTTTGTATTCCAAGCGTAAAAACATCATTATCGTCTGGGTATGGATCGATAACAGGGTTTTTACTTTAAAAAACCAACGCACGTAATGTACGAGAGGTATTAATAATTAAACAAGGGAAAACAGGAGGGAATTCTCCGAAACAAGGTCTGAAACTCTAAAGTAAGAGGGGGGTTATTTTGGGGATGGGATGGATTTGTACAAAAGATCCCCAATAGCTAATAATTAAAAAGGATTTATATTATTCAACACCCTCCCTCGCTATAAGAGTCTATATATATAAACCAACTCAAGATCAAAATTTTCACCGCGTCCATATTTATAAGGCTTCAAAGGATAGAATTTTGTAGCCATAGAGCAAGCATCACATTTTTCCCCCTCGCGGATGGTTTGTACATTTCCAAATAACATCATTTAAATACACTCATCTTGACACCCACCTGTGAATTTGTGACGTCACAGAGCGCTAAATTTATAAGGCTAGTGAAAGTACACAATCAGCGTCAGGCAAGAGGATGGTTGCACACAATATCACTCAATTATTCACTCCTTCCCTAAAAAAGGGAGAATCTCAAATTCAAAGAACGACTAAAATTAATTAACAACAAAAATTAATTTTCAATTTTCTCCTTGTAAAATAAATG